AATGCTCAGCCAAAGTACAAATTAAGTACCATGGATACAAACTGTAATTTCTTGGATTCTGGGAGGATCTCTACAGATTTTTTGCAAGTAAAAATCCTTTATGACACTTGTTCATTATCTCATATCCTTGAAAAATGTTCTTTATTTTGAACTCATAAAGCACTAACTAATGCTGAATAAAATGAATGTTTTCTTTCTCATTTTAGACTACAAAGATCGATGATGTAGAATTGAAAAAATATTTTAAAAGAAAAGAGGTGTGATGTGTCCTGACTAATATTTCCTACATCATGCTGGAATGTTAAATACCAACTGTGCTACATTTCTAGGACTGGAATCATTCATCACTTCATCATTACACTCCAGTCTGAAACTTCTTCATGAGGCTATTGTAATAATGATTGCTGAAACAATAAAACTTCTTGTATAAGCATTCAACTAATTTCTTGTTTTGTTTTTAATCCTTTCACTTCTTCACTAATCTGAAAAAGTACTTATTTTGATATTGTCTCATCCTTCATCTTCTATTGTAAGGAAATCATGGTTTTAAAATGATCAACAATTAAGTCTACATACAGTATATCAGTCCTTAAAACCTCAACTCGATTAACTCCAGCTCTTCAAGAAGCATCTCCCACTGATCCCAATGACAAACTTGATACTGTCTTGTAACTGGTTGAAACACTTAACCCCCATCTCTTTTTTAAAGCTGACCGGAGCAAGGACCTGGAACAAGGTCCAGCAGCCATATCACTCTTCAGCACACAACTGGCAGCCCACTGAAACTCAGCAGGTGTGAGCCTGAGAAAGCTAAGGTTGCTGCTGGAAGAGGTATTAGTGGGGCCAGTAGGAGGTACTCACCCTGTGGTCTGTGTGGATCCTAATGCCCCAGTCTAGTGATGGGACATAAAACCAAGGTCCTAAAAGGGCTTTTTTCAAAAAGAGCACAGGTGTTTTATCCTGGTGTCCTGGCTAAAATGTCCCATTGGCCTTTACCAATTGTAGGCTCCTAATAATCCCCAACTATGAATTGGCTTCAACTCCCTACCCCCCCTCCACTGGTGCACTCTGGCTGCTGTCGCATCATCCAGGTGGGGCTACACATTACCTGTAAAGAGCTTTTTAGTGGAGTTCCAGAAAAGTGCCATAGAAGCGTATTATTATTAATAATAATAATAATACAGTCAATTATAAAACTGCATTACAGTACTTGAGTTCTTGTAGATATTATCATATCATGCTAGTCCACTGTGGACTGTGGGCATGTTTCTAAATAATTTAATGATATACAGATATGTTTTAGTTTATCTGCTTGGTTTAGAGTTCCCGATGGAGATATTCTCTACGCTCATCTGCTACTTTTACTAAAAGATTACTCTAATCTTTGTCTCTCACAGCATTAGAAATATTAGTAAGAGTAACTATGATGAGAGCCTACAAATTCCCTCCCTCAGCATCATAGGATCCTGTCTTCTCTTTATGTTATTTACATGGATCTTTTTTAAATTATCTGGTGACACATTTGGATGCATTGGCTGGGTACTACTGATAGAAAGAGCATTGGGTAGTGGAGATTCTTGGCAAAGTGGTACTTTTAAAAAAAAACACTGAAACTAATAAAGGTTGGTTTAAAAAAACTCAAAATGGGCTGGACACAGATAACTCCTCCTTTTATCAGCCCATTAGTGTCTTTTCTTGTTCTTAGGTCTTTATTTGAGTCTTAGAGGTAAAACAGCTCTCTAAGCTGACTTTGTCAGTGTCTTTAAGATAAGATAAGATCACTTTATTAGCCATATAAAATGTATTGTATTAGGAATTTGTCTTTTCACATACTACAGCTTGCTCTCCATGAGACATACTGTAGACACACAGACAGGGAGAGAAGCTTGGGGTCAGAGCGCAGGGTCAGCCATTGTACAACACCCCTGGAGCAGTTGGGGTTAAGGGCCTTGCTTAGGGGCCCAACAGAGTAGGATTCCTGTGCCGACCACAGGATTTGAACCAGCAACCTTCCAGCCACAGATGCAGATCCTTAGCCACGGTGCCACCGCTTTAAGAAGTATTTTTCACCACCCACTTTAAATACACTGTATTTACACTGTAACATCACAAGGGCAAAGATCAATCTAACACTTAACCCGTGCAATACACGAAGAAGGACGTGGACTGCTGTAGGACTACCTACAGTAAATACAACCGATTGACTTTGGAAACGTGGGAAAAAGCGTAGAAAACAAAGACTTAAACTTTATTTTTGGCATTTAATATATTTATATATGTATTGTCTACCAACTATTCAAAATGGGATTTCGTCAGGAACAATGCAAGAAACCTATTTAAATGCAGACATTGTGACAAACCATGAAACGACTGTCAGATTTAACATTAATCCACAATCTTTTTTCCATCCTAAATGTTCATGTTCTTAATTCCCATTCATGTCCTTGTTTCACTAGTGCTGAAGCAGTCCTCTAAATTGACTTTACCAGTGACTGTCACGATTATAAAGGTATGAAGTTACCATCTTACATTTTAGTCTTAGAATATGAGACAAAGGAAAAATACAGATAAGAGACTCTGTGTGTTGGATTCATCACCAGTAAAACCTCATTTAGAACATTATGTGCAATGTTAGTTACGATTATATAAAAATGTGGTAGTTTGGAATGAGTCCAGAGAGGAGGAACTAGATACATTCTGGGATTTAAATGAATGTCCCATTCTGACAGTGTGAAGAAACAGAACCTTTTGTCTTGAGGACAGAAGGATATGAGGGGACCTGACACAAGTATTCAAAATCTTCAAAGGCACTGGCAAAGTGAACCCAGCAGATTTCTTTAGAATGAATAGTGAAACACAAACCAGAAACCTTGTTGAAGTGTATTTTAAACTGAGAACAGGGGGCATTTCTTTACTCAAAGGGTTCTGGGAGTATACTGTAGAACAAGTTATGCCTTGTTGTTGAAGCTGATACCTTGGTTCAAGAAGCAGCTAAAAGAGATCATTGGATCAATTTGCTCCTAACAAACAGGATAAAATAGGTTGAATGTACTGCATTTCACTTGTTTGGAGCCATTATTTTTTAAATGATTTCCAAAATAAGAAATAAATAAAACAGATGAATGGTCATTGATGGTTTGAGGATTGGGTAAGTTTAACTGATAAGAACCTTAATGTTCTGCTCAATGCCAGTTCAGCACTTAAAACTCATATCAGATACTGTCCATTACAATGGTGTGTCTTTTTTCACCAATTTAATAGTGGCCATTTAAAACCCCCTCTTCTCCCTGTTATTTGCTGAGACCCTGGTTCATGCCTTTTTCTCTAGATTGGGTTACTGTAATACACTGCTTGCTGATACCTCTGAGTCTACTATCAATAGGCTTGTGTATATTCAAATTCTACATGGTACAATTTTAATCAGGTTTAATTCCTGCAAGCATAACACTTATTTTTTTAACATATTGTGTCATCCCTGTAAAGTTTGTAATATTTTTCAAATCATTCTCCTGACCTGAAAATTTCTCAACAATATTCCATCTTGCTACCTGAACTCTGAGTTGTTACACTCTAACTTATGATGGAGTATTGGGCAATAGAGCCTTCTACATGTACAGTATTCACCCAAACTGTGGACTGCTCTGCTTGAGGCTATACGAGACTCCATTTTTTTGTTTTGTTTTAAAAGTCAGTATAAAACATCTTTTAAACTTGTCTTTCCTGGTTATTTCTATAACTGCACATGACTTTTATATATTAATTCATTTTGTGTTACTTTATCTATCCTTTGCTGCTTCTCTATACTTTTAATTGAAAAGAACTTTGAAAAGTCCTGACGGTAAAGGCCCTATATTCATGATTAAATTAAGAGGTATTTTTTCCTTTAACTTCTTGTTTCAGTGAAACTACACTTTTTAATTTTAGAATACATTGTAGTCTCTAGACTAACCTCAAATTTTGATTAATTTAGTATTGGGAATAGTCAATCTAAAAGTCCCTTGACACTGTCTGGAAAGCAAACCAAATAAAAGCGCACCACCACTTTCTCCGCACAACATTTTTGCTCCTCAGTTACAATATATCTTATAAACAAATAACATTCAAATTGCTCATCTTAAACCAGAGTCCTGAAGGTTGCTTAGCAAAATTTTGTCTTCTCAAATCCTTCTCAAAGTGGGGGTATTTTTTCCTGTTTAATGTCAGGGTGTTAGTAATTTTTTTATTACAGCATGTGTGTATCCACACTATAGAATTAAAGTCTTTGGACTTAAATTCATACCGCATAGCTAATTAGTTTGGGGGGGGGGTTATGCAATCGTGATTAACATCACAAGGGCAAAGGTCAATCTAAAACTTAACACGAAGAAGGACGTGGACTGCTGTAGGACTATCTACAGTAAATACAACCGATTGACTTTGGAAACGTGGGACAAAGCGTAGAACCAAGACTTAAACTATATTTTTTGGCATTTAATATATTTATATATGTATTGAATATCGCACTGTCGTCTGGGTGGCTACGAGCCTTACCAGGAACTAGCAACTTTCTGAGAATGAATGGAGTTACAGTCAGTGCATTAAACCCGTAATATGAACCCCCACAACGGTGCTGCACCATTGACGAAAAAAAGTTTTTTTTTAAAAGTCGATTAATTCCGTCTCCCAACACGTGTTGAGGCAGCGTACTGAACCCAAAGCCCGGTCTGCCCAGTATCCACTACCTCAGGAAGCTACCTGTGTAGCTGTGTGGCAGTTCCTGCATGCCGACTGCAGAAGGTGAGGCACTTCCGCTGAGTGACTTCGCAGCCGGATGACGTGGCTGAACACAGCAAAGGCAACGGCGACGGAGAGGGAGATTGAGCGCCTCCAAATCCGGCACTGACTCACAGCCAGGGAGAAGAGGTTGTGGGGGGAGAGCTTCGACCGGGCAGTACCCAAATTTCGTTCGCAAGGCGGTCCTCGACATAACATGGGTCCGCTTGGGTGGAAGATCGTGGCGGTGGTGTTCCTGTCCGCCGTGGAGATGTTGCTGCCGGCCCGGGCGGATGAACACGAACACACGGTAGGAGTTGGGGCCGATTAGGCATAGGAAGCCTAGTGTGTCGGGGGAGATCCAGGGATGGCAGTGAGCTATTTTTTTTCTTCTTTGGGCAAATGCGGATCATAGGTCCAAACACGAATGCGATGCACGAATGCGAACGTGAAGGGATACGTAACGTACAAAGAATGGGAGTGTGACCAAGAAATGACAAAAAAAAAAAAGAAAATACAGTACTGCTATCAGCTGGAGCTATTCCCCGTCACCTATTCGATGTGAAGCATTTTATTATGCAAGGAAAAATCAGCAGGCCATTGATGAAACGTTTTTTAAGGAACGTGTCTCGTGTTTCAATGCCAACCCCTGTCAATTTTATTTTCAAACATTTCGAAGGTGGATAAATCTATTAGGGTTGCCCCTTGTGCTGCTGGTTTGACGGTACATCCGGTTGTACAGGCCTGGCTGGTGTAGGACACAGAACATGTCAAAAGCTTTCCTTGTTTTCATCGTGTCCAGGCGAGGGACGACATGAATCCAGACCGGAGAGGTGGTGGCGGTGGGGGGTGGAGCAGAGCTGAACACTTCTTCTGTGTGCTTCTTATTTAAAGATGCCGTGCGGGAAGTGATTTTTGCAAACTGCAAATTGGAGCGAGTAAGTCATTAACGTAGCCATGAGAATCGGGTGAGCGGAGCAGCGGACCGGAGGGACGAGTTAGATGTTGTACTGGGCCTCTGGAGCAGAGAGACAACCGGAAAGGGCTGTGGAGTGTGAGCGGGGCTGGGGCGTTATATAGTTCGGAGTTGGCTTGGAAATGTTCCTGGTAATAAAGTTTTCATGAATACATCCGAGTTGTTGCATCTGAAAATACACATCTGCAGAAACAGGAGTTGCACTGGCTTTGGTCAAAGCGTAATTTCCTCCCCAAACAATTTATATATAATCATCGCACTTCATGATATTTTTTGTTACTTGACTTTCACCTTCATCCGTCTGACTTCTGAGATATTAGAAACTCTTGTCACCATTTCATTTTTTGTTTCATTTTGAAACACTTACTGTAGTTTATTAGTCGGCAGTCCTCTTCTTAAAAGAGAAGAACAATTGCCAGTTTGCTACATTCTTAAAATGCACTACACTTATGTATTTCGTCCATCATAAAGGTTAGCTTGAAATTGAGTCCAGTCTGTAACACTGTTTACTGAACGTTTGTGAGAACTATTCACCAAGTTCAAATTCCTTTAACCTATCTTCTCCGTTTTTCATTGGTTGCATCTCTCATTTAGATGCTTTTATTTTTCAGTCAGTTACTTATATTTTTAAAATGTCCTGGTGTAAGTGACCCTCTTTGTTCATTCTTTAATTCCTCCGAATATGAAAAATTCATCCTTTTATTTTACTAAGTGAACTTGAGGTGTAATGTTTCGATTTCTTTAAAAAATGTATCTGCCACCAAATGACTTTTCTGCAACTTGTGCCTTTTTGAGTATCACAAACTTTAGGCCTACTACTGTACTTTGACAGGAGGCATTCTTTATTAATGTTTACATATTATTTCCCTTCTATGTTTTACCTTTGTTTAAAAATCTATACATGATATGCATACGTTTGCAAGTATCCTTGAAAACGTTTTCTGGCCTCCTGGGGACTGGAGACAGTGATTGAAAGGATGTTTTGTGTTCCCACATAAGAGATTTCAAAGTAGAGAAGGCCATTGGGCCCATCTAGCCCATTTGGTAATTAATTGATCCAAGAATCTCACCCAGCCGTTTCTGGAAACTGCAGCTGCAAAGTTTCCACTATTTTCTGTACACGCAAGGGGTCACAAAATGTTTTGAGATTTGTGGTCCTTTGCAGGGGTAGCTCCAGATTAAAAAAAAATAATAATAATAGGCTAATCAGCTCCAAACTTTATAGTTACCAACATGTTAAGTATATGTGCAATGAGGGTTCCTGTGAAAACCACGATAGCCACAGGAGCACCCTATTATTGTTAAAACTCAGATTGCTTTCCTTTTTTTAGAACTACTATCTCAATTGAAATGGAGTTTGTAACAGTAGTTCTGGAGGGATGACAAAAGCCAAGTTTCAGCTGTCAGTACTTTGTAATCATTCCTGACATCATTTCCCCATATAAAAAATACTACAGGTACTTAGTCTTCACTTCCTCTGATGTATCTTTTGCATCCCTACTCCAACCCATCTCCACCTCTGCAGCTGCCCCTGGGCCACTCTTTACCCATGAGGGTCCTAGTCTCCTTGTCTAGTGGCCAGGAGGTTAGCTTTCAGCCAAGTCGCATAAGCCAGATAAACTGACTAAAGTACTCAATAAACCTTTCAATGCTCTTAATTCGCGGTTGTTGTTATTCTTGATGAATGACAGTTTGGCACATTTCATGAGAAACAAAATTGCTTCTGATCTGTGCCTCTCAAGTTCCTGTGACAACCTGGTATGAACAAGAAAACTATCGGCCACAGGCACAACATAACCTCTCAGACCAGCTGCCCATGTTTCAAAATCTGGTTAACCAGTTTGTTCTAGACCTGCCAGGTACCATTTTAGCGAAAATTGTTAACATATGGGATGTAGGGAGTTGTGTATAATCCACAATGTGCGACTGACTATTGTGTTGAAATTCAAATTACCATTGTATTAACTGCTAGGCTGATTGACCCCAAACTTTGCAGGTTCCATCATGCCTAGACTTGTTTGAAAACAGAACCTCTGCAGGTTGAAATTATACTTTATATGCTCACAGCAGTTCAAAATGTGCTTGGTGATATGTGCCATGTAATGCTAGCTCCTCTTCAAGACCTGTTTTGTCAACTGACTCCATACTTGGTAGGTATAACAATGTAACAGTGTTGCAAAACTGGGTTCGTGCATAAATCAGAATGATCATGCGATTGCAGTTGTACTTTTTTTTATGAATATCCCATGCCACAAAGTGTTTCTTGGCAAGAAAATTACTTTTCGAGCGATTCCAAACAGTGTAATTAACAATCACAATCCCTCCTTAAATTACAGTGACTTTCTGGCCATTTTGTTCTTCACAACCTCAAACAGCAGCTGACCGACTGACCTGAAGCCTAACAGGTTTCACTCGAAAACCTGCTTTAGAAGTGAACCTCGCAGGCTGCAATTGCTGTTTCTATACCCTCAGTGAATCCTCACCTTCCTGGTGAAATTCTGCCCTCAGGGGGAACAGCCAGAAGGGGACTTTCTTCTCGAATCCTCTGTGGGGTGTTTAACTGGCACTGAGGTGCACTGGCTCTCTCCTTGTCTTTTCATGTCCAGCTTTCTCTTTTCCCTCTCATCCTCTTCTCCTGGCTCAGTGCATTTCAAGTTGTATTATTGGCATGACCATCAACGGAGTTGTCAAAACTTATACTCTGAGAGATTTCTTAATCTCTCCCTTTCCTCTGCATTTTCTCCTTTCTCTCTCCCCCCTCCATCATTCTCTCTTCCTCTACCCTTTATTGCTTTTCCTTGGACTGTCTGTCTCTCTCTCTTGATGGACTTAAGACCCACCAATGCCCTTACTTCTTTAGCTAGGGGGATTGCCTGGTGGAATCTGGGCAGGAAAAGACTTTGTACAGGACCTGTGTGAAGGCCCATCTTCACTCTGTGTCTCTCGCACCCTGGGGAGAAGGGAGGCATAGGGCTAGCCGGGGGTCTGTGTTGCTGTCCTTGACCCTTCACAACCTGCTAAATAACTGCCTCAAAACAGAGAAGGAAAAGTCTTATATTTATCTTTACCTGTTTTTAAGCTACAGCAGAAACCTTTGGCTGAAGTTAAAATCTCTGCCAAGTTTCAGTTCAGCTTGTGCAGCAGTTTCTTAGAAGATGATGGTGACAGGGGTTTTGAATATGTGTGTCAGCCCATGATCTTGGCTGAAGAAGAAACCCAGTTTATGGTCTGAAAGTTTTGCTTAGGCTTACCTATCTGTTACAGCAGTCCTTCTTAGTATTGAGTCTGCTGTTCAAACATTGTTACTGCCACATCACTTCAGTATTTCATGACAATGGGACGTCCTCGTATGCTTTCAAAATTGTATGCATTTGGATTGTTGTTCTTATTTCTTTATATACTGTAATGCAAAACATTTTCTGCTCTTGATCTTGTTGCTGAAACAACATTTTGGTTTTATCATCCATTGTAGAATATATATTTTCTAAACAACACTGTAAATATTAACATTAGGTGTGGCCTGCAGTGTTGAACTTGTCACTGGTGTGATATGGTTTTTGCATTTTGATTAGCTCTTGAGTTGTGTGTTGGCAATCATAACTGTAGCATGGGGTGTTTTCCTTTTGTTTTTCCAGTGTTTTGGTGTTAGGCCTGTTCTTGCATAAGTGACGTGGCAGTTTGTAAATATTTAAGTCTTCCAATACAATGCAGCTTCTGTTTGTTCCTTTACAGCTTTTTTCCTTTAGCTCTGATTTACCGCCATGTTCCCTGTGTTTTTCATACATCTTGTTTAAGCTGGTTATGTTCTACATGTGCATATTTCTAATTGCTGTCTCTAACCATTTATCTTTAGGATGCATTTTTATTGTCATGACTTTCATTTATCAAATGAGCACGTTGTAGGTTTAGCTCTAGTCTTTCACCTGTTTCCCAGAGGTGTGGCACTGCAAGGTAGTGTGCTCCTTGGAGTAGATCAGACATCCTGAAAACAGTGGATATTACAATGCACAAAGTCTAATACCTTAGTCTTATCATTCAAACCTCAGACACTAACAATATTACTTTATTAATAAACTTAGAATTAGTTCAGGTGAATTCATGGTTTTCTTCTAAATAAGTCCTGAATGGTTTGGTTTATTTCATGTGATCTCTTTGAAAAGAAATTGAAATATTGTGAACAACAGTGGAATACCAGTAATAGTACAAATGTGGAAATCTACCCAATTCATTTTTTAAGGATTTATCCAGGTTTTAAACCATTGATTCTAGTTAGGGCTGGGCGATATGGCCAAAAACAATATCACGATAAAACATTTCATGTCAGTCGATGTCGATAATAATCACGATAAATGTGGAATCATTATTTCTTTCAAGTTTAAAGGCAGATTTTTTCTCCTGAGTGAAAGTTGAAGAAACCAGACAGTTAATTGGTAAATTAAACAACTCTTATTTTAACACTTGCCAAACAGCAGAAACATTAAACAAATCTGAGGTAGAGAGTATTCCTTTTTATGTCAAAAGATGCATGAGTAAAATTTACAAAATAAATATCTTAATAGAAAAATTAAATACTGCAGTGTGATAAAACACACATAGAAGATGGCTCAGACAGACTGCAAAGTTTAAAGTGCTCTGTTTTATGTCTGATCGTAAAAAGCCAAAATATCTCCAAATTACCAAAGTTGAATGACCTTTTCTGTCGACGATGTCATCGCCCTTCGAGCTGGTCGTTGGCAGAACTACATTTGCTTCAGTGTCGCTCATTTCTCCACTCTAACTGCAGTCCTGTCAGCCACTACCGTGTGGGTTAACAACACCACGTTAGCTGCCCGGTCTGCAACACACACGCACACTCACACAGTATTTTGTGCGCATGCGCAAAGCATAAACATGTATATTGAACATTTATCGAACTTTTGTTAAAATTATATTGAGGAAAATTATATCGCGATAATTATCATTATCGAATTATCGCCCAGCACTAATTCTAGTGTGTATAAACTGGGTTCTGGCACATGATGAATTCTGCTATTGTTATTTTTTTTAGCTAGTCTCTGGGATTGTAATTAATTTTTAGTTCTCAAAACATTGTCCTTGGGTAACCTTAATGAGCTTTGATAAATTTAGAAGAACATACTGTTGCACACTAAAAATTAAATCTTAAAATGTGAGATTTAAATGTTTCATAACTGGTTGTGTTTTGAACACGCACAATTTGTTGAAATGTTAAAATCCATTTAGGATTATCACAGTGGTTAAAATTCTAACTCAAGCTCAGAAATTAGTTTTAAGAAGAGCATTTGTCATGTTTCCCTTCAGATATCTGCAGCCCATTTAAAAGGTTTGGGATTTTATACATATTTAAAGGTGCTGGATTTCATTTTTTGCCAGTGTGGACAAATTAATGGAAGACCCATACCTACAATTTGAAGATGATTAAATTTGATGTGCTTTGAAAATCCATTTGTCTCACAATAGTTTTGCTTACCTTGTACAGGACTCCAGGTTTAGCCTAAGAGTAAATAGGCATTCTGAATAAAGGCTCCTTGTTTTGCTTTTATATGGCATATCAACATAGAAATTGTAAGACTTTTTGCAGTTTTCACAAAAGCAGTGATAATGGTTTTAAATAATCCGTATTCCTGATTTCTGCATGCTTCTGAACAGTCTAATGTAACAACAATGTTGAATTTAGTGTTAAAATATCCATCTATGTAACCACCTTTACTTTTTTTTTCTTTTATAGTATACAGATAAGGAGGAGGTTGTCTTGTGGATGAACACAGTGGGACCGTACCACAACAGACAAGAAACATACAAGTACTTCTCCCTCCCGTTTTGTGCAGGATCGAAAAAGACCATTAGCCATTATCACGAGACTCTAGGAGAAGCTCTTCAAGGAGTGGAATTAGAGTTCAGTGGGTTGGACATAAAATTTAAAGGTAAGCACAGTGCAAGCTAAAGTTTGCACAGCAGAAAATTCAGCTCAGGAAATCTACGCAAATACAGACTCATATTAAACCTTTTTTTTAGGTTGTTAGGTTGAGTGTTGCCCTTAATTAAACCATTGCACATCTCGGCATTAGCAGCAAGACTCTTGCACAGATTGCTGAGAGAAACCATTGCATTATCATCATTATAATAATAATATCATAATATATGATCATAATAATAATTGCTTACATTTATATAGCATATAAATATATTCTGGACACTCCACTCAAACCGCTTTACAGCTAATGTGCAGCATCCACCTGGATGATGCAGCGGCAGCCATAGTGCACCAGAACGCTCACCACACATCAGCTATCACTGGGGAGGAGAGCAGAGTAATGAAGCTATAGATGGGGATTATTGGGAGGCCATGACTGGTAAAGGCTAATGGGAATTTGGCCAGGATGCCGGGGTTACACCCCTACTCTTTTCGAGAAACACCCTGGGATTTTTAATGACCACAGAGAGTCAGGACCTCGGTTTTACATCTCATCCAAAGGCGCCTGTTTACAGTATAGTGTCCCCGTCACTATACTGGGGCATTAGGACCCACACGGACCACAGAGTGAGCTTTACATTACATTACATTCTAGCTGCACTCATAATGTTGCGAGAAATCAATTGTATGTTTGCCCAAGAAGAATGGGCTTCTTCAGGTGTTTGTGCCATTGTGGAAAGTAATAAGGTGGTTAGAGCGCTTCTGTCAGCTCCATGTAGCAGGTGGGGGATAACCTGTACCATCAGCCTTGCACATCACAGATGGCCCTTTGGCAGATGTTCCAAGCAAATCAGTATGGCTTGGTGAAGTAGCATATCTAGCATATCCATGTCATCTTTATTAAATATGCTTTTTTGTAAAATGATATTTCTGGGGAACACATTAAGTTTGTGTACTTAGACACAATGTCTGAATGTTTTTTGCGTGCTACTTTTTTTAATGGATGAAATTAAATGGAAAAATGCCAGATGCAAGATTCTTATTTCTGTACATGGACGGTTAGTCACTCACTAGAATGAAATCGTATCTTGTCACAGGTGGGTGGGTTGAGAAAAATGTGATTCTTCTTAGTCAGCGATGGACTTTATACAGAAGGAACTTCTTTTAAAAATGTAAAAAATATATTTAATGTCAATAAAAACACAGCAGTAGATAAAAGAAGCTCTTGAAAAAGGCCAGGATAGTTGAATGGATTAGTCATTTGTCTGATCTAATCTGCGTAATGAGATATTATAAAAGACCAAGAGGATGAAAAATATTGAGTCTGAGTCAAGTGAGGTAACACTAAACCCTCATAATACTCTGCTACGTCTCTACTTAGCAAACAGTTTTATTTTCTTTACAACAGGACTAAATGGACATTGCTCATCTGGAAATAGTTTGATTTTGAGATATTGAGAGCTTTCCCATACAAATATGTGTTGAGAAAGTGCCCCAATGAAGCTAAATTGGTTTATTCAAAATCCTGTAAAACTTCCATGTTCTTTTTAACCTAACATTTTAACTTATATTGACATACTGGAGAGTACTCATAAATACAGAAGGGCATTCAACAGAGCAATTTGAGTAAAGTATCTTGTTTAAGGTACTCAGACATAGTATCAAGTCATGACCCAGTAGTCTGCAATCTAGACCCCTTAATACTCAGCAGTCCAGGCGGAGGAAATCGCACATATCTGTCAAATTCAAATTGAGTACATAAATGACAAAAAAAGGGAAACTAGTATCCACTTGTGAGCAGCAGAAGGCATTTCTTTACACAAAGTCTTCATGGAGTATATATTTAGTTATTCCATTTTCCTGTCAGGTAATGGTCATCTTCACTGGGATCGGTCTAGAGACTAGTGAGTGTTTTGGATTTATATGTGTTTATAAAGTTCCCCATAGTGAATAAGATGAGCTACTGCATGAGGTCTCCAAGTCTCGTATTCTTAGTATCCACTGTTATTTCCAAGTGCTAGGTTAGAATAAGAAATGTTGTTTTCATATCCTTACAGACGAGGTCATGCAGACAACATACTGTGAAATTGAATTGGACAAAACAAAACGAGATGCCTTTGTTTATGCCATAAAGAACCACTACTGGTACCAGATGTATATTGATGACTTGCCAATATGGGGTAAGTGATCTCTGAAGTTCTTTAAGGTACAAATGTGATCTTGTTTACACTTATGGCCACTTATCCTGTTACTATTACCTCACTACATTTTGTACTTTTTGAACTGCCCTTTTTGCAGGAGACAAAATATAGATAAGCTTAGTGTCAGCTTAAGTAAAAAAAACACTTAAGGTTCCTGTTTCTCTTCCTTGCGACTCCAGCATCTGCTGTGTTAGGTGCTGAGCTCTTATATAACAAAGTCCTGAACCGAGCAGTTAATATAACATTTAAACATTTTAAGACGTTTCCTTTTGCAACTAACATCGTTTTATAAGTGACTTACAATCTGAAGTATTTCAAGGATGCATACGTTTGGAAAAGAATGAGAACGTAGAATTTGCTCCCGAAAGGAGGCTATTTGGCACTATTCATTAATTTCAGTTAAGCAACTTATTTCTCTTGATGGTTCGTCTGAGGAGCTGGGTTAGGCTGTAAACTTTTAAATGCAGTCTAAGCTTTTTTTGTCTTGTTTGTTGAAGTATTACTAAGAACTTGCACTACTACCTCACGTAAAGTACATCACCACCTGCTTGGAGAATGGAACTGGTTTGATTTGCAGGTGCCTTTGGTACTTTATTGGTAAGTTGATGTTAATGTAGTGTAACAGTAGAGCAGTCAAGCTGTGCAACCCAGTGGTTTAAGTGAAGCATGAGCAGTAAGTATCATTCTTAATTGCATCCATTCATTTTCAGTAGCCATGTTGAAAAGACCAGTGAGTCTGTACAGGGAATCTCTATTTTTTATACTTGCATTTTATTAGCACCTGCTGGTGATGTCTCCAGGGCAGGATGTTACATCTTATCGCAGCTGTTAACACTTGTCTTTCCTTTTCAGGCATAGTTGGAGAAGCAGATGAGAATGGAGAAGATCACTACCTCTGGACATACAAGAAGTTGGAGATAGGCTACAATGGCAATAGAATTGTTGATGTGAATCTGACTAGTGAGGGGAAAGTCAAGCTTGTGCCGAATACAAGAATTGCAATGTCTTATTCTGTAAGTTTATTCATAAAGCTTAAAGTCACAAACCTACTAGGATGCCTGTGGCATTTAAAAATATGTACTGGGAAAAATTCTGACATTTTTCCATGGGGAGTGGTCATTATGAAATTATGGAATGGTTTTTCACAGTCAAGAAATACTTTCTTTCAGGTCAAGTGGAAAAAGTCTGATGTGAAGTTTGAAGATCGATTTGATAAGTATCTAGATCCATCCTTCTTTCAGCACAGAGTAAGAAGACTTTTCAATAGTTTTAACTTATCTTACTATATTTCCTTTGTGTCCACTACCAAAACTAGTTCCTTCAACACAGCAGGCATATTGGTGAAAATGTCTAGTGCACCTTCTACTATTAATGATATTTTTTTCAGTAAAGAATAAATTAATAGAAATTTCTTAAAGATTGCAATTTAACAGTGGAGGTGCATTTATTACAAAATGTTGACTATAGTAAAATAATTCATGGAGCCTCCTTCATGAGTCTATAATCCCTACTTGTACATTTCATATTAATCTTGTCTTTTTTAGATTCACTGGTTTTCAATCTTTAATTCCTTCATGATGGTGATTTTCCTGGTGGGGCTGGTTTCAATGATTCTGATGAGGACATTGCGAAAAGACTATGCCAGATACAGCAAAGAGGAAGAGATGGATGACATGGTCAGTGTTCTGTGTATATTGTACAGGTTAAAGGATATTAGTCAGGGAAGTGAGTGCTTCCGTAGCATGTGAGCTCAAAATGGGTACAGACTGCGCTTAGCCAGCAGCCATATCACTCGGCAGCTTACAACTGGTAACCCACTGAAGCTCAGCAGGTGTGAGCCTGGTCAGTACCTGGATGGGAGACCTCCTGGGAAAAACTAAGGTTGCTGCTGGAAGAGGTGTCAGTGGGGCGCTCACTCTGCGGTCCCTGTGGGTCCTAATGCCCCACTATAGCGAGGGGGACACTATACTGGAAAGATGCGCCGTCCTTCAGATGAGACGTAAAACCGAGGTCCTGACTCTCTTTGGTCATTAAAAATACTCTCAAAAAGAGTAGGGGTGTAACCCCGGCGTCCCGGCCAAATTTCCCATTGGCCCTTACCATCTATGAATTGGCTTTATTACTCTGCTCTCCTCCCCACTGATAGCTGGTGTGTGGTGAGTGTACTGGTGCACTATGGCTGCCGTCGCATCATCCAGGTGGGGCTGCACATTGGTGGTGGTGGAGGGGAGTCCCCATTACTTGTAAAGCGCTTTGAGTGGAGTGTCCAGAAAAGCACTATATAAGTGTAAGCAATTATTATTATGGCATTTGTTTTCTTGGAATTTGTAATACCATTTGAATTTTCTTTTTATAGTGTATTGCATGTTTTGTAAGTCATCCTGGATAAGGTATGTTCTTTGAAAATGAAAAAACATCAGCAGTGGTTATAAGAACTATATGATTGTACAGAATGTCTATGTCTAATGTCTAATGTCAAGGAATACTTGGATCAGGTTCCTTCATAGTCTTCATTGCTCAAGACTAAAAAGGTTCAGTTCTTTTAGTGTGATGTTAGACATTCCTTTATGGCTGTTATGGTCCTTTATGAAAGTCTATGGCTGTTCTTCTCTGGACTGATTTCAGAGAAGCAATACATTTTTTATAATGTTAATTAATTGTCCACAGTTTTTTTTTGCATTGTTCAATTTTAGTATAATATTGTGCAGTTCTAGTTCTATATTCTGACATTGTTTCATTTTGCCCAAAAATGAGTTTCTTGTGTTTGCCCAAGTTCTACAGTATTTTGTAATCGTGCAGTTTTGGTATTGTCTGCAGACTTGGGTAGTTTGCTAACTATTGTAGAACTTAGATCAATTTGCTACTGAGATTTGGTAGCTAGTTGTAGAGACCTCTTGAGAACAATCGTGAGACATCCACAAAGATGACAGTATGTAAAATATGGTTTTTAAAGCTGGGGGAAAATAATAAATAATGTTAATTTAGCACAACGAACTGTCAGAGATTACAATTTACCTGACACTGTAGTCAAGCTTAGAAAAGTGCTTATGGAAGACCCACATCCCTAACCTACTGTATCTGCATTGTCTGATGCAGGATCGAGATCTTGGTGATGAATATGGATGGAAGCAGGTTCATGGCGATGTGTTCAGGCCTTCCAGCCACCCCCTGATATTCTCGTCACTGATTGGTTCTGGCTGCCAAATCTTCTCAGTCTCCCTCATTGTTATTATTGTAGCAATGATAGAAGATCTGTATACAGAGTAAGTACGGATGAAGCTTATCACTGTCTTCAAATTATGGTGTTTGTTTCGACAGCCACACATTCTTAACTTCAGTCCTAATCTCTTATCCATGCTATGAAATGTTTTTTTTCAGAGATATAAAAAAATCCCTTGCAAGGATTGTCTAAAATGATTTTGCTTTTTAACACATTGATGCATCTGTTATACACTCCTATAGATGTGTCTGATTCTTTTGAACCTGTGGCGTGGTCTGTTGGTTCTTTTAGTCTCTTTGTTGTGAGAATCAGTTTGTAGGGGAAGTGTCTTTCTGTTATATTATTATACACTTAGCCGTGATCTCCAGTGATATTAGCTTTCTCATAGGACTGCCTATAAGAAACGATACATTTAAAACAAAAACTGCATTCTTTCCATGAAACGCTGCCCTTAAAATTGTCCTCATACTCCTGATAGCATTGTCTCTGACTGCTTTGTCGTACTGCTGTGTGAAATTAGTTTATTTAGTTTTTTAGCCCATTGAAAAGTCCCTCGTCATATTTGTGAAGCCATAGTTTCAAGATGGAAATTCGTTTTGCATCTACAGCTGACCAGTAGATGGCAGGATCTACTTACACACTGATCTATGTCCTGAGTGTTTCAAGGAAACTCATTTTCATTTTCAAGCTCAGTGTGTGTCAGCACTCTAAATGCGGGGGTTTCACGGTTTTTACAACTCTTGTTAAATCTTTTAATGGGTCTTGTTTTGGAATAGCAATACTTTCTTAATTTCTTAACTTTCTTAAGGGATATCACTGGGATATCTAAATCTACTTTGAACAAACTGCAGTATGTCCAAAATTAAGCAGCCAAAATCCTGACCAGGTCTAGTGCAAGTGATCACATTACTCCTATCCTGGAGTCCTTGCACTGGCTTCCTGTCAAATTCAGTGTGGACTTTAAAATCCTCATGCTAACCTATAAGGCTCTGCATGGCTTGGCACCTCAGTACCTGTCTGAACTATAATCGCCCTACTCCCCACCTCACAACCTTTGCTCTTCTAATTCTGGTCTCCTAACTGTCCCCCAAGCCCATCTAGATTCTATGGGTGACAGGGCCCTCTCATGTTATGCCCCCAAGCTCTGGAACTCTCTCCCCAAGGATATCAGAGAGTCACCTTCTCTAAACTCATTCAAATCCAGACTCAAAACCCTCTTTAGAAGAGCCTTTACTTAACTGGTTCCATTCTTCACCCCTCTGCTTTTCTTAGTACCACCATCCATGGTCTCCTCTGTATATTATAATTGTGTCTTATCTTGTGTATTCTTTCTATTTATTGTTGTTGTCATTCTGTAAAGCGCTTTGAGAAGCCACCTTTAAAGGTGATATATGCTGCTAAACTCGTGCATTCTGACTGGAATGTTTTCTTCATACAAAAATAGCAAATATAGGAACCAGCTAACCAAAGACTTAATCTAATAGATACAGCAGATATCATTCTGAAGCCTGTGGTATTAAAACAAGCTTGTTTTCTGAATATATGGCATTATGTAATGACATTTTAAATTTTGGCTCAAATGCTTTCATCCAAAGGCCACACTGAACAGTTGAATAAATAGCCCACAAGCTTGATGTGTTTGTATCTTTTAACAGAATGCCTACATACTGTAACAAAATGTGCAAGAAATTATATATGCAAATCTCATTATACAATAAAAAATAAACTTTTACATCCCTTCAATATAAAGGAGTGCTAATAAGTCAGCTCTTATTTGTTTCTGTGACAATATTAATACAAAATGTTCATGTTTACTGTATCTTATTTTTTAGTCCTGTATGTTTTTTTTTAACTAAAATGTATTAAACAGGTCTCAAACAAATGTAAAAACATGTTCTCCTACTACTGACAGTGTAAATATTTTTTTAAAAGCTATCTTTAAGATGTGGACATATCCGTTCATATGGATTACTTAATGGGATGGACAAAAAATGTCATAGTTTTAATGTTAATTTAATGCTTTAGTTCTGGAAGAGGCTGCAGAAAATCTAGACGGTGTTAATTGTGTAGTAGGTGGCAATGTAACTGTTTTATTAATACTGGCTACGTTTAAGTGCTTCCCCCTTTAAACACTACTCCCTTTGAAAACAGCATGTTTCTCTGTGAATTGTACGTGGAAAAATAAGCTAACTTCAATGTACAGTATATTTTATAGAAAGCGCCACATTTCTTGTTGCTTTTTTTGTTCATTTAATAGAATTCAAGATCCAAGTTCATTTCTTGAAGAAAAAAAAAGTGCTGATTTACTTTTAGTTTTTAGTCTTTCATGTTGAAAGCAAAGTGCAAGTTCTTCATAAAGAAAACAGGTGACTCATCACTTCAGGTGTTTGTACATGAACTGCAAAGTTCATGTTGGTGATACTTCACATATTGGACTAATTTATGTAACCCATCGGTGGGAAAGTTAGAATATAATTAGACCAAATAAGGTCAATTTAAGTGTTTCGATAGTGTGGCGTTATTGCCATAGTAGTTTCATGTGGAGAATTCTGAAAGTATAAAAAAAGTTGAGCATGCTTACCTTCGACACCTAGTGAAATCTGAAGCAACTGTGTTTGATGAACAAATGGCTCGATTGTAGTAAAACATGCCTGTGAGGTTTTTGCAGGTGTTTTGCAGATGTTTGTTAATGGCAAAGGGGCCAGTGTGGGGAGTGGATTTGCTCGTGCCATTATTCTTTACTTTGTCATTTTCAACTTTCTTGTTCCTGCACCATTTTCTGCCTATTCTGGAACATGACAGATGACATGCTTGGGAATCTGAAACTAATCTCAGTCCTTCCAACGGAACGTGGTAACAAGGCCAAATGCTTCTATACTTAAACAGGATGCAAGAATTACTACCACTGTTCTGTATTCTTTACCATCCAGTATTGAAATATTTAGTTTTTGACAAAAGTGACTGTCACCATATTCCTTGACATCTGTCTGTGGAGTGATTATGGAAGACCACTATGGTTTTCAGGCGTACATGGAGATCTGGAGCCTGTGAGGTGATAAGTGCAGAATGACAGAAATGGGCTTCCAAATTCTCAACAGCCTGGCTACTCCTCAGTGGCTCAGTATTGAGGCCACAGTGGAGCTTCAGAGAGTTAAAGTAGATTTCATTTTGTGACCTGGTGAATTCCTTGTCCTGTTTTTCTGATGGGTTTTATGTAGGGTTCAGTTCTCATTTTAAATTTAGGTTGCTTATGTTGTTGTTGATCCTACTGTCATATAAGTCTCCAATAATTAGAAAGGTATTGGTGTCTTCACCAATATTGCTTAATAGTGAATATTTAGAAGGTGTCTAGTCTTACTGAACAATGCGTAGGGTGTTTAAATTTGAAAACGTCTGCTGAAAATTAAATACATTCCAAAAGCCCTTTTAAGGGAGAAGAAACATTGAGTAATTTAGTGTGCAAAAGTGAAACCAGATTGAAAATGTATACTCTGTGAAAGTTGCTGGTCTGTTTTCAGAAAGAAAAAAACTTGCCTTAAGAATATTGACCACACATTTATTGCCTCTTCACAGGAGGGGATCCATGCTCAGTACTGCAATATTTGTCTATGCTGCGACATCACCAGTGAATGGCTATTTTGGTGGAAGCTTATATGCCAAACAAGGAGGTAAGCTTTTTTTTTGACAAATTGAAGAAAATAACCACTATCGTAGGTTTTTTCTGTGTACTATTTAATAGTCCAGGTATAATGTGTTTTTTTGATAGTTTGGCAAGGATCAAGTTTGCAGAAGGTATACAGTAACTCATGCCATCCACAAGTGTTTTTTTTTAGTTTTTTTATTTTGTTTTGTTTTTTGGGGAAACTTTCACTAAACAGTCAACCTTACATATGATCCTTTTTTGGTTTCCTGTGAAGTAATGTGTTGTTTTAATAACATCAGCAATATCACTTTCGCAAGTTTTAATAAGCTCCAAAATATTTAAAAAAATTATATTTTGTATTTTGTAAATGCAATTTTTATTATTCTTGAGTGCCTCTGACAGGAAAATAACAGAACTTCAAATATTAGTTTCTATGTGGTAGAAACATGTCATTATAGCATAGTTGCTGTGTTTTGCAAAACAAAGACTAATAAATTCAGAGGAATGCCAAACATCTGCTATTTTATTGCACACTTCCTAAACCTTATATTTTCAAAGCACTAGGAGATTGAAGATAAATCTTCAGGAATTATGGGGAGAAGAAAGCAGTATTTAAAAATATTCATTCTTAAGGATTCTATAATTGTTTTGATATTCACTGATGAAACACGCTTTTTTATTTTGCAAGTATTTTTATACTAATATTGTTGTCCTTACGTATGTGTATAATGTAAAAAAAAGTTTATATTTACAGCGCTGTTCATTTAATTATTTACCCTTTTCACACCTAAATACAGTTCCAGTTAATACAAGGTATAATTGAACCATATATCCTGTTTCATGAAAAAGAATATTCAGCTTTGCTAATCTAGCTCTGGAGGTTAGGAAGATATTCCGCGTCTGATCTCAAGCAGTGCAGTTGCTTTTTGTTGCAAAATGCAATTTGAATTAGTTGAGGAAATGAAGAAAACATTATCATGCAAAGTTATCTTTCAAGTTAAGCTTTATTTTTAGCTTTTTTAAAAGACACTAGATAAGTTGGAAACAGAATATAAACAGTGGCATCTATAGCCCAGTTCTCCTTCTGGAGAAAATGAAAATAAGGTGTCATTGTGTTAACCGTAATCTTTTGAAATATTAAAGTGAGTAATTCTGGAGCTTAGGGAGAATTTCCACGTCTGATCTCAAGCAGTGCGTTATCATTAAGAAATGCAGCAGGGTTTAAGGTATGTAGCTTCAGGCAGGCTCGGATCCTGCAGGTGTGATAATTACTGAACTGATGCACCATGGTGGATCTGGACTTGCATAACCTGTTCAAATAGTTCATGGGGTGCAGTCATAAGCCTGTGAGGTGGCCAGGCTAGCACAGAGTATAAATGCTATCTGGAGGTTTAACTTCTGTTCTACTCTGTGTAATGGGTCACAGTCTCCTGACAGATTTTGAGTTACAATATGAATAGCAGGGGAGTACAATTTCCCTTTTAAGCAGCCAAGTTCATCATATAAGCTCTAGTACATCTAAGCAAGTACAAGAAATTGGAAAAATTTCTGTCTCTGTACTTTTCTAGTCAAATAATGTCTGACTACTATTAAACGGCTTTTGTAAGCTGTACGTTCTATTATTCGGGAATACTTTTTTCTTCTCTTGTCTGTGAGTTCTGTGTGAAGGTGCTGGTTCTCGGGGAAGGAGAGAACTTCACATAGAAGATATAAGACAAAGGTGATATAGTTGCACAGGGATTTTCCCTCTATATTATCACTGTACATTTTCTATTAGAGAAGGGATTGCAGTAGATGATGACTGTCACTGTCACAGCTTCTAGAGAAACCATCAGTTTTTCCACCAGTACCGTTGTAAAACAATGGTCTACAAAAGTTTTATTGATGTATTTTTGTTGGTGGAATTTGAATATTGACGGTAGGACTATCTTTGTATGAAACATAAGCAATAATGATAAACTGAATATATTATTTGTAAGGTCAGTCTCATAGGAACCTTTCAAAGCTATACAAAGAAGTTGACAGTTTGCACTGGTCTGTGCTGCAGTAGTGCGTGGCTTTACACAGCACTCCTCGAAGAAATGTGCAACAAAGTGTTTACACAACTGTTAATGAATCAACCAAGTCTTTGGTTTAAATCTGTCAAGTGATAGGATTAACTGCTGTTCTTAAAGAAGAGAAATTTGTAAGTTGCGGTCTCTTTTCCCCTTTTCTATTTACTCCTAGTTCACTCACACTCAACATAAAGGCCTAATCTCCTAGCAACAGTTATCTTTCAGGCTTTCATCTGTTTAGGTACATTAGATTAATCAATAAGGACTTGTTTAATCAGTCAGAAAATGTATCATTTTAATTGATTAGAAATGCTAATAGAAATTGAGGAATATTTTATATAGCAATTGCTATTTATTTCTATGAATGTGATCACTAATTTGGTCTGTAGTCAATAGTGGATGGAATTGGCTCCGGTTTCTCTGTTCTGCACAGAATAGCAGTATATGAAGGTAATATACACAGGCAAAATAAACAAAACATTACCTGTGTCAGGAGTACTTTTTGTGCTGACCTGTAGGACAGCGACACAACACCACCATGCTACAGTGAATTTATAAATACCACCTTGTTTCAGTTTTCCTTCAGTTTTATTTGTACCACACACTGAGGCAAGTGGTGACAAGAGCACCTTACGAATGATGCTTGCATATTACAATTTAAGGAGGTACTTGGTGATGTCATTATGCTTGTTAATATTGTGCATTGTCGGCAATGATTCCAGCATGGAGCCATGTGGTCTTTGCTCTATAGGGCAGTGGGTAGCAGATTCCTGAAGGTGGGCAACATGCAAAGCACAATATCTTAAGTGGTATAAGTGAACAAGGCCCTTTGTCTCCAGTTTTGCACAAATTTGTCATGCAGGAGTACACATTTACTTCAGCTGTACATGGTCAAGCAAATATGAAACTAGAAGGTGTGATCTAAGGGGATCTAAGGCATTTATTGCCTACTTGTTACCTTGGTACACGTTAGTATTCAAGAAAGTTTTCATTATGATTCATCATTATAGCTGTGTCATGAGGCAAGTTATAAACAGAGATGAATTCGGAGCGGTGGCTCTGTGGTTAAGGATCTGCGCCTGTGGGTGGAAGGTTGTCGGTTCAAATCCCGAAACCGGCAGAGGATTCCTACTCCATTGGGCCCCTGAGGAAGGCCCTTAACCACAACTGCTCCAGGGGTGCTGTATAAATGGCTGACCCCGCGCGCTGACCTCAAGCTTCTCTCCATGTCTGTGTGTCTGTGTCTCATGGAGAGCAAGCTGGGGTATGCAAAAAGACGAATTCCTAATGCAAGAAATTGTATAGGGCTAATAAAGTGATGTTATTCAATGCATAATTTGAACAGTGCTCTCATTAAGATTTATGTAGAATAAGGAGTCATGATAACACTAACTTCTGTCGCATGCTAGCGGCACAACCATTACCAGTCAGCAAATGCACGCAGTATTTTGTGTGGACTCCTGATTTGTATGACATTTGATTTTCTTTATGTTTTTAAATTTTTAATGTAATGTGTATTGGCCAAAAAGTTAGAAAATGTTATGTAATATGTTGCGTTTCCTTGAAAGGAGAATGAAGGATTTATCAGTTAATTGTTTTTGTTGCAAGAATCAATTTGAATTAGTTCAAATGAAGAAAACATTATCCTGCAAAGTTATTTTTCAAGTTATGCTTTATTTTTAGCTTTTTAAAAAGACCTGTAGATAAGCTGAAAACGGAATATAAACAGTGGCATTTATACTCAAGTTCTCTTTCTGGAGAATATGAAAATAAGATGTGTTGTTATGCTAACCATGATCTTCTGAAGTATTAAAGTGAGTAAAAATAGTCGCCCAGGAAACACCATGATGGAACACTGAATTATCACATTCCTTCAGAGCCCCTTGAACATGGGCGCAAGTATAGCTGATGAACATTGAGACTATCACTTTTCCTCCATCTTAATTGTCCTTAAACAACTGTGACATCAACAGATGTCTATAATTTGCAGGACAGTTACCTCTAGCTCAATCTTTTCCTCATCCATTCAGTATCTATATCTAAATCTTTCCGTTTATATGACTTTGACAATGCACTTGATTAATAAAATATTAGCCTCAAACAATTAAAACCCGGCTTGAAATTACTGTACGTTTATCTTCTGTGATAGTGTTCCTGCTATACAATTTTCATTTATTGGAAATGTGTTGGAGATGGTTTTCTGAATGTACGTGTTTTCATGTTCATTCATATTGGGAGTCATACCATTAGAAATGTGTTCACAAGCTTGACTTTTGCAAGTAATGAAATGCAATCCTTGTATCTATTTAAAATATATTATAAAGTTGTAGATTAGTCAGGGCATGCCTATATAATTGCAATTAAACCATGTTATTTCTGTTCGTGGTGTTTTAGTTCAGTTATACAGTGTCTTTATTTGCCTTCTCATCCTTTTCATATTCGAATAATTTGATTATATGTGTCTGATTCCCTGCCAATCTGGAAAATTGCTGCTTGACAGCCACAATTATAATTACATCAGATCTGTTTGCATTAGTGTGTTGCCTATATCTTGCCTATATCTTGCTTCACTATAATTATTCTGTTGCAATTAGATTTTATCATTTGGGATTTATGATCATGATTTTAATTCAAGATGACACTCTAAACATGGTTATTCATGACATTAGATTATACTGATGCTTAATATAAATAAGAACACTGCACAAGAACAGTTTTAGACTGAAGCAGCTGCTGTCCATCATTTTGATGAGTGCAAAGGACCAAGTCAAGGTTAATTCAGTGCTGAAAAATAAAACGCTTCAGCTGTTGAGCCTTCTTTGGGCGTCCTCATCAAATTCAGGTGTCATTTTTGATGAATGCTCGATTTGTCAGTTTTCCCACGGAAACATTTTAACATTTATTTTAATTATGTCTTAAAACTGTGGACAATATCTAAGTTTCTATAAATCTTTTGGTGAAATTCAATTGCATTTTTAATATTCCATCTATAAAACCTAACTCTTCATTACGCCTTTTAGAGCATATATTGAAGGCTAACCTTCATTTTATCACTATCATTCTTCTCAAACACGGATGTCTGTTGTGCTTATTTGGTTAACAACTTCCAGAAAACATCAGATTTTGCCAGATTTGCTTGGTTATTGTGAGTTCAGTGTGACTGAGAAAACCTAAATTATGACTAATAAACTGCCCTAAAAGTAATCCTATTGTTCTAACATTTTAATTTTGTTCCTTCCCTTCCTTACTAGTCTGGCAGTTATATGTATTCTTAGATGTTTTGCAATTGTTTAATCCTCCTATCCTGTGTTGTACAGTAGTGTTACATAGTGTTATTATGCAAATGCAATCTGTATGTTTCTTTAAATAATACCCGTTTTGGGAGCCTCTCAGCACGTGGAGAAAAGCATGAGAAATTAAAAGTGTGTTGCTGAAAACTTGTTTCACACAGGAAGAAGGTGGATCAAGCAGATGTTCATTGGAGCCTTCCTGATTCCCGCCATGGTGTGTGGAACTGCATTCTTCATAAACTTCATCGCCATCTATTACCACGCCTCAAGAGCCATACCTTTTGGCACAATGGTGAGTGAGGAAACGAACATCAAAGGACCCTCTAGTCGACATACTTTTATGTCACGTTTTGAGCTTTCTTTTAATACGATCTGGTCTTCAGGTTCCCTAATGTCTTAGTGTTGTTCATGAAAACAAGTTCTTGACAGATTGGTGTCATAAGTGTTGATTCCGTTGACTAACTCGATCTTCTGAAAGAATGTTTGTAAAAAGTTATTGGGATTATATTTATCAGGGGATGAGTGCATTGTATATTTTGATGAGATGTTAAATGTGGTACAGGTTAAATCTGCCAAAGAGAGAAGGAACCTTCTCATTCCAACATCTATATATTAATACAGGCTGACTGGACCTCACTAATTTATGGCTGGACATACCAGTTCTTCAGATATTTTTCTCCTTTCAGTGTATTTCTAATTGCAGGGCTCCTTGAGAGTCTAGAACAAGATGCATTAAAGCCATAAATATTTATAGTTTCATACTCTGTGCATGTACAGCCCTTTCACTGAAGGAAGGCAAAGTGTGGGAAATTCAATTGGAATTTACCACAAATCACACCTATATTGAATTCAGATTTAAGTTCCTTAAAGCCCCAGCACAATGTAAACTAGATTGTAATTCTAACTGTTCTTTTTATAAGTACTTCTCATAAGTGATGTTCTTTAGCTTTAGTAATCCTGGGATGATAGTAAGGTCAGATCTTACACATTTTGTGAAGTAAAGAAAATCCTCAAAAACAATCTTTGGCTTGATTTATACAGCATAGCACTGCTGCTTCATTAGGAAGTTTTTAAACCGAGGACGTAAAATTTGGTGATCTCTTCCTCTGAACGTCCTCCGAGATGCTATAGTGCCAGCTGGTATATTGGTCTTGTTTTGATTGAAGGATTTATTGTGGTTACAGAACAAGAGATTTTATTGGTTGACCAAGGAAATATGTGAAGTAGTGCACATGACAGAGATGATATCTGGTGACCTAGTAGTACCCAAGTGTTAAGATGATGCTCTTATGCTTTTTTGTAAAAACATTTAAGCAATAAACCTGGTTGATTTAATGTTACTTGTTGCTATAGCCCAAATATTTAGTAATTCATTTGCTGATAAGGAAACTAAACAGAAGTTAATTCCACACTAAAAAGTAAAAATGTTTCAGCTATGGATCCCTTTTCAGGTGTCTTTTTACTTTTCAGCATGGAATTAACCTTTTTGCGCTGTTAAGCATATTTCACATTGGGAACACGTGTAACAATTTGATATTGCATTTGGACAAGATGTGCAAGTCATTTTTCTGAGCTTTTTCTTGCCATTTCTGAAAGCTTTTTGGACTCATCTGCTCTTAAATATGTAAGTGCATTTATTATACAGGTTGAAAATCCTTTATCCGAAATTCCAAAATCCGAAAGTTTTTTGAATGCTGACATGACACGCCACAGATGGAAAATTCCGCAAAGTGTGGGATGGTTCCGACACGTACAGCTGTTGTGCACCGCTAGGAGTTTTCATTTTGTTTACCTGTAATCATATGCAATGCTTTGTTTTTATACCGGTACGGTACTGGTACAATGGAATTCTTACTCACAGAAAGTCTCTCGATTGTAAAACAAGTGTAAAAAACAAGACAAAGTGCAAACAGTGCATCAAGACAATGTACAAACAAACAATAGACAATGTGCAAGTAAACATGTAGACAGTTTGAATGTGAACAATACAGACATGTAAACAATGACTGGAGATGTGCAAAAGAAATCGTAAAGAAGTAGATGGTGATGGTGTAGGTGTGGTCTGAGGGGGATGGCTAAAAGTGTTCGCCAGTCTCACTGCTTGTGGATAGAAGCTGTTGAAGAATCTAGTGGTAAGTGTCCATATGCTCTTATATCTCTTGCCTGAGGACAGTGGGGTGAAGAGCTCATGCCCGGGGTGGTCCTCTGTGCTGGCCAGAATTCTACCACGGCAGCGGTCCTCATAGAGCTGTTTAATCTCGGTGAGACCGCAGCCGATGATCTTCTGGGCCATATTGACCATTCTCTGCAGTGCCTTTCTTTCTCGCGAAGAGGTATTGCCATACCACACGGTGATCCCGTTGGCGAGGACGCTCTCGATGGTGCAGCAGTAGAAGTTCACCAACACATGTATTGGCATCCCCCATCGCTTGAGGCACCTCAAGAAATAAAGGCGCTGCTGAGCCTTCTTCATGATAGAGTCGGTGTGCACAGTCCAGGTTAGATCTTTAGAGATGTGAATTCCCAAAAACCTAAAGCTGGTGACTGTTTCCACTTCCGTTCCATCAATATTGAGTGGGCTGTGAGTGTATGGCCTGTGTCTCCGAAAGTCCACTATTAGCTCTTTCGTTTTCTTTATGTTCAAGTCCAGGTTATTGCTACGACACCACCTAAGCAGCTGTACAACTTCATCCCTGTAAGTGGACTCGTCATCATCACTGATCAGTCCTATTATAGTGGTGTCATCGGCAAACTTAATGATGCGGTTGTTAATGTGCAGTCGTGAGTCAATAGGGAGTACAACCTTGGACTCAGACAGCAGCCTTGTGGGGTTCCAGTGCTCAGGGTGAGTGGTGTTGATGTTTTATTGCCTATCCGCACCACCTATGGTCTCTCGATAAAGTCCAGCAGCCAGTTGCAGACAGAGTTGCACAGACCTAATCCCCTGAGCTTTGTCACCAGTTGACTGGGTATGATGGAATTGAATGCTGAACTGTAGTCCACAAACAGCATTCTCACATGAGTTCTTAGTGTCCAGGTGTTCCGAGGCTGTATGCAGAGCCAGGGAGACAGCATCATCCACTGATCTGTTGTTCTGGTAGGCGAACTGCAAGGGGTCCAGGGACTCTGTGATGGAGGAGTTGATGTGTGACAACACCAGCTTCTCAAGGCATTTCATCACCACAGATGTTAATGCTTCTGGGCGGTAATCATTCAGGCATGTCACTTTTGTCTTTTTGGGGGTTGGAACAATAGTGTTTTTTTTAAAGCAGGTGGGGACCATGGACTGTGACAGGGAGGAGTTAAAGATGTCCGTAAACACTGTGGTCAGCTGGGCTGCACATGTCCTTAGGACTTGAGGTGGTATCCCATCAGGCCCTGCAGCCTTACGGATTTTCACCCTGCTCAGAGTCTTTTGCACGTCCTGCTCTGAGACTTTCAGAACAAACTCGCCCTGCACACTTGGGGTCTTCTCAGCATTGCCCGTGTTCAGAGCATCAAAGCGGGCATAGAAGTGGTTCAGCTCGTCAGGCAGGGATGTGTTGTTCGTGTCAATCTCCTGGCTGCAGCCCTTGTAGCCTGTGATTGACTGTAATCCCTGCCACAGCCTCCGGGTGTCAGCGCACTGCGTTTCAAGCTGCACTCTGTAGCTCCGTTTGGCGCATTTTATGGCTTCCTCTAATACATACCGTGATTTCTTGTACAGCTCTTGTACAGACTTGGGTTCCATCCCCAAGCTGTCCCATTTTATAGATGCAATCAATATAAAAATATTCCAAAATCCGAACAAATCCGAAATCCACAACACTTTCGGTCCCAGGAATTTCAGATAAGGGATTCTCAACCTGTAATGACATTTATCTGTAGCATTTATCTGCTACTTGGAAATTTAGTTTGTCCTACTAGTACTGTTTGTATGTTGTTGATTTTTGTCATGCTGTCTTAAGCTGCTGATAGTTTAGTTATAAAACCTGTTCTTAATGCATTAAAATCACTTTTTTTTATGTAAGTAGAAGTAAATATTCAAAACCAGTTAGTTTTCTTTCCTTTCCTGCAGTGTTAGGGCTAGGTCAAATGAAGCAGGAAGGTTAAGCATTGCTACCTTGTAGTGCTGGGGCCCTGTGTTCAGTTCCAGACCTGGGTTGCTATTTGTGTGGAGTTTGTATGTTCTTGCCACGTTTGTTTGGTTTATTTACCTGATGGTGTCTGTGTGCGACCTGTCTGTGATGGACTGGCGTCTCATCCAGGTTGTATCCTGCCTTGTGTCTGTTGCCTTCCAGGATAGCCTCTGGCTACTCCTCGATATCCTGTATTGGATAAAGTGGATTAGAAAAAGGATAGAGTTTTTAATATCTGAGACACTGTCTTAGTGTAGCTGCAAGCTTTTTTTAACAGTCTGGTGTTTCCCATAAAAAAATGGTGTTGATAAAGGTGATGAAATCCACAACCCATCCCTGCTAAGAGCCCACTACTGTGAAATAATTAGGATTTTGTTTTAAAACAGTACATAATACAGAAGGTACCCATTTAGAATAAGAACGGAGAGGAATAATAATTCTTTAAGTGCTAAAGCTAAAGCAATGTTATATCTTTCTGAAATATTTATGCTTGTGCATTAATCCTGTTTAAGTACATGGGAATCTCCAAATTGTATAGTTAATTTTATGAACTATCAGATTTATCTGTTGAAATGGAAGTCTTGTTCTCTTTACAGATGAGATTAGATTTTGTGTCTAGATCATCAAGAATTTTTGTTGCTCTTTTTTTATGGCTAAAGTGTCAAAGCAGTCAGTTGCATAGGTTAGGACAATTTGAACTTTATAGTTAAATCCTAACAGAGTTGATAACCCCCCAGTCATACTTACTTAATAGGATTGTTAAACTTTGTACATAACACAGAATTATTGTTTCTTAATAACCCTTCTTCTGTCATAGATTGTTTGCAGCTTTTTACACACTACTTGATGAGATCTGACAGATCAAAGTTTAATGCTTTCACAAATCCAAATCTCTATACAAAGCCCTTTCATGAACCCTGGATTAAATTAAAACCCAATATGGACTATGGTGCTGGAGCCTTTATATTAAAATTACATTATAAGATATTTCACATTTGAGCTTGAAAGTTAAATGTGGAGTACAGGGCCATAATTCTAAAGACAGCTTCGTTTCTAGTTTCTGATCATCTCACTTTGATACCTGATCCATTTTTGTTTTGGTTTGGTTGACATTTCATAGTTAATTCACAAACTTTTTTCACTAAATCACTGTATTATGACAAACTTTGAAACAAACTAATTGTGTTGCCAGATAAACCTCTAGTTGACTCAGCCCAGGGATAATTGCAATAATTTGTAACTCTGGTAAAGTACTCAATTTTTATTTTGTCTCATTAAACATAAAAGAATGCATGTTGATCAGTGAATGTGCAAAGATCCTCATTGGCCTAATGTTACTTTATAACTCATCAGTGAAGAAATCTTTTAATAAATATCTGCAAAACCTTTTTAATTCAGTGACATATCAGCATTTATTGACCATTGTGTTTCATGCAATGAATTGATCCACCCTATGTTAATGGAATACATGCATCTGCTGAGCAAGCATGTACGATATCGCATTTCTGTGCGCTAATCTGATTTTCTGCAAACGAATGCTGATGCAAAGCAGTTCTTTGTATTTAGAGACCGACCATGCTTTTTGCATTTATGTGAGATTAAACCTCCACCTAAAAGAAAATTTTGCCTTTTCAGAAAACCCTACCTTTTTTTATCTTTATATGCATATTCTGTGGTGGTTTTAAATGTTTTTATTTTTTTATATTTTAATGGTCTGCCATTATTATGTTAATTACAATTGAAAAGTGTGGTTTTAAAATGATAGTTATGCTTTATCTGATTGTCAGCTGTTACAGTCAATAGGGTTTTGCTAATGGACGCATTTCATGATTAATAAAAAAGGAGACTCAGGAGGTCAAGACATGTCGCTAAGATGGCTCGGATCTTGTGAAAACCAGTTTCAGTCCTCACTTTTCCATCTTGTCTCCAGTAACCTGAGTCACCCAGCTTCCTGTGCTATTCAGAGCTAACAGTCATGTCTGTCATTGCATTTCATGCATTTGTATTAGCCTCTTTTGTCATTACTGTCACATTACTGTCCAGAATTTCAACTTTAACGCCCAACACCCATCTGCTACCACTGTGAGGGGTGGATCAACCTTATATTTATCTTTCACGCTAAAGAACTCCATCTTAACATCCTGCAAAGCGATTGTCTGAAGCGAGAATGATCACACTTTTAATTTTCATACAAGAGCTCAAGATTCCGCGACTGTGAATCTTCCTTGACCCCCAGGAATGCATCTCATTTAAAACTGTAGTCCTCGGAGCTGATGGAACACCTCAGCTGAAGGAAGTCTTGTTAAACATTTATTTTTTTCTTCTGCTGTATTGTCTTAGAAATCCGTTATGAGTTGGCCAAGCATTAAACCATATCTTCTGGGTTTTTGTATTTGGGGGAGTTTCTGAAGCTCAGGTTTTTGTGGAACTCGTACTGGGTGGAATAAACATGCTTGTTTGTTACTTGTGGTATGTGTAAATGTATATTTGATGTTCACTGTCATTATTCTGAAGCTGCTTTATATCTGTTCACCCATCGTAGTCATGCAATAACATATATCATTATATGGGTTACTCATTTTCTTCAGATATACAGCAGTAAACATTACTTTTGGTTTTATTTAGTTTAGGTTTGCTCTTCAACCCACGTCATAGCGGTGCTAAAGATTTCATTAAAGATTGTCTTGTGTATTCACTTTATTTAAGAATTTCAACAGTTTTGTTATACTTACGATAAATGGTAAAACATCTTTTTAAATTAAATTTATTTTTAAAAATAACATTTATTTAACTCTGCTCTATGTAGCCCCTTCTCACACCACCTGCCTTTTTACCTCAATCTTCATTATTTGTCCTTTTCCCTTAGGTGATATGTTTAAATATTATGAGGAGAAATGCCAAAACCAAGCAATCATTGTATTGTTAAAAGATTGTGGTTTAAAACTGCTCAGTGAATTTATTGCCTATTTTTTAGGTTGCTGTTTGCTGCATATGTTTCTTTGTTATTCTTCCCTTGAACCTGGTTGGCACAATTTTGGGCAGAAATTTGTCTGGGCAGCCCAATTTCCCTTGCCGTGTAAACGCTGTGCCACGTCCTATCCCAGAAAAGAAATGGTAAATATTAATTTACTGATTGTATATACATGCTACTAGGAATATAAATATTCAGTTTGAGAATATTCATACTGTTGTACGATAATATGGATATCTATTTTTCCTGATTTAAGTTTTCTTTTATCTGATTTAAGTTTTTTTTTTACACTTAAAGGATTGCTTCACATTATTCTAATTCTTTTACAATTGCCATGATCTACTTGGAAATACATAGATATTTTTTAAAAGAATAGTTGTTCCTGTGTTCTGCATAGTAGATCTTTACAAACTGATGTGTATGGTTTAAAATCATTTATCAAAATAACTTTAGTAAAGAAAAAAGGAATGATTTAATCCTGGAGAATATTAAGTCATGCAGTGCTTTGTTCATGTTTCATACTGTCCTGTTGAAAGTCCTTTATAACTGATGTCTGAGCCTGCTTTACAATGTCTATATGCCTTTATTTTTGGAACTCGGCTAAATCAAAGTTATGGTAGAGACTTCATTTAAAGTCTGGGGGAAAAAGATCTCAAAACAATGATTCAGTTGTTTGTAGGTTTTTACCCAAGAGTACAGTTTAATACAATTTCTCATTCCCCATCGTTTGTATAGTATTTCACTTTGAGACATCTAAAAATAACATCATGCTCTTCTTGAGTTGTTGTCACTGAAGTGTTATGAGAAGTAGCCTTTTTATGAGGGGGCTGCATAGACTTCCTAAGCGTCTGAGTGTTCTTTTCATTTCAGGTTTATGGAACCGGCTGTTATCGTCTGTCTTGGTGGAATTCTGCCATTTGGCTCCATTTTTATTGAGATGTAAGTTTTTTTTATAAGTAACTCTGCAATTTCCATTGTTCAAAACTATGCATTCTTTCAAGCCAAATACTAAGTTAAAGATATTGGGAGGGTCGTGGGGACCACATGTGACTATAAGAACTAATTTCTTTTCAATGCCATTCTGTTTGCAGGTATTTCATCTTCACTTCCTTTTGGGCTTACAAGATCTATTACGTCTATGGTTTCATGATGTTGGTTCTGGTTATTCTGTGCATCGTGACAGTCTGTGTGACCATTGTGTGCACCTATTTCCTTCTTAATGCAGAAGACTATAGGTGGTGAGTACATAGAGAATAGGCCTCTCTGCCCATCTTTCAATGGCACGTTTAATCAAGTGTATATTTTTGTCTTGAGTATAATATGCATACTTTGTTGAAGTACTTTGTTTAGTACGGCTGTATATAAACACACAGATCAGATCAAAATTCAACAAACATTCGCCGTTTCTGATGTTTTAGCCATTTCCGTGCCTGCCGGGATTTGTGAATGATGTATATTTCAGCATTAGTAGCACACTTTTTAAAATGGCTTAGATCAAGTAGACTAACCTTTAAAAGCATTGACTTTGTCAAATATATTCCATTGCTTCGTAAATGTAAAGCTTAATGTAATACAGTGAAGTCTTCCTTTACCTTTAAAAAAAGATTCTTTTTTTTGCTAATCAGTGTAATAGCACTGTGCAAGGGCGGGGGGGAAGGGCACCAAAAATAATTTGATGTGATATTTTTGTTCATTCCTTTCGAATCAGCCTAACAGCAGGTGATTGTGCATAATATCTATGAACACTAATCAAAAGTTCTAATTTAAATATATCACGCTATGTTCCAAATAACAGAAGCTACTTCAATTCCAACATAGTACCAGCATAGCAGTGACACACAAAGTGATGTGACTGATCAAGAAAGAACTACATTGGCTTTCTTAACTTGTTGGTTAAACTGAATTTTTTGCTCACTGTCAGAAATTAGAAAAAAATGCTTACTTGTTACATTTCATGTTCCTTGTGATATCAAAATCACAGACCACTTTCATAAGGAATCTGCTGTCAAACTGCACACTGAGGTGAAATGCTGGCTGTTGATTTTGATGAACTAAAATCATGTTGGAAAGACTGAATGGATTTCAGTTCCTGTGGATGAGTCTTGCAACATTGGTAATATTGCTCTGATTTCGATACTTGTTTGTGTTTTCAATTATATGACACTGGAATCTCTTGGTATAAAATCAAGAAATCAGCCTTGTGGTGAAGATTTGTTCAGCTAAGAAAGAAGAAGAAACAAGTAAAAGATTTATTCATTGCTGAAAAGAGAAGAAAGGAAACAACGTTTTGACTGTCTTTGTGTTACTCTGGGTGGGGTCACAGTTTAAGGAAAAAGTAGTCCAGGGAGGAAGAGAAGGAATGATGAAGAGATCTGGAAAAAGATTTAGAGGAAGGCATAGTGGGTCGAAGCAGAAGTAGGCTTGAGGTAGTTCAAGTAGGTAGCTGCGTCAGCGTGTGTAAGCTGCAAGGGAACAAGATAAAGGTTTATTCCAAGCTGAAAAGAGAAGAAAGGAAACACAACGTTTATTCTTCTCTTTTCAGCATGGAATAAACCTTTTACTTGTTCCTTTGCAGCCTACGCATGCTAACTCAGCTACCTACTTGAACTAAGAAAGAAGCTGAGAATACCAATGAACGTTGATGGATTTCACCGTCTACTAATTTGGATTCTGCAGTGGTTGGTAAAGAAAACTTTGTACAGGAAGGAAAAGATGTTAGTCCAACACATAACCACCAATGCTGTCTCTACCGGGCAGTCCTCTCCTTTTTCCTCGGTGAAGACTGAAACTGACCAAACCAACTTGACAACATTCAACTCTCCATGCAAAAGGCAATTCAAAGCTTTTCTGCAAGACATTGCAATGAATTCTATGTTCACCAGCTTCAGAACTGTGCAAGGGCACAGTGCTGCAATTAAGCAGTGTTTTGAAGAATTTGATTCTTTTATGATCATTTGTCTTTGTATTCAGAACAATTTTGGAATATTAGGAGAGATAAGCAGCCAATGAAAATGTTTTCCTTGTGGATATTTGTAGACTATTGAGCACACTGAATTAAGCACTGCAAGGCAAACAAAGAGTCAAACTCAGTGTTTGTGTCAAGTAATTCAAGGAGAAGCTGGCTGTGTTTCCAGTCCGAAGAACTCTTTCATTTTGTGACTTTGAAGGAGGTTTTGGCACCATCTGCTGGAAACAAACATGACAACCATTTTTCTCACATTTTTGAATAAGCTAGCCACGGAATTCAGCCAGTTGTTCTTCTCAGAACAACTTTTCTTTTTGTCAAAACCCTGTTTTCTATTGTACCACGAGGACTGTGGACTGATGGGTAGGTGTAGATTGTCTACAAATGGAGCTGTACAATCTGTGTGCCAGAGGTAACAGAAAAGATTTGTTTTGGATTGAGTGCCTTGATATTGAGAAATCTTACAAATGGGAGAGACCTGACACTGACCATACATGCATATGGGAATCTGTGAGGCATGCTTTTCAGAAGCAAACATAAAGTAGACACCCGAGTAGAATAACCAGTGAGCACCATGTGCAGGCTCAGTTTTGCTATATACTACATTTACTTCACAGTGTTTGGCTACAGATAAGAATTTTGCACTAAATTCTTTTGAAAATCAAAAGGCAAACGACATAAAAACATTTTTTATTCTTTTTTTGTGTGTGACTTTTTAACATTTGTTAACAGTTAAGAATTAAAGTATCTGTTTTGCTGTAACAGACTGGTTCCTGTCGAATGTGATTGGCAGTGTTTTTGATTTGTGTAACTGCACTTTAGAGAGAGGAGTCTGTTAAATGGACCTTTGCTGAATAATGTTAGAAACCCCTGGTCTAAAACTGAGTAGTTAGGCTTCCATCCAAATATACCTTGTGTTCTTCCTTATGAAGTCCAGGATTTTTCTTACCATTGAGATTACACTGGGTCTGTAGTATCCTGGGTCATAGAGATCATACTGGCACTATGTATCCATTTAGCTAAAAGCTTAGCAATTTACAACAATTACAATTATAATAATTCACATTTAATCCCCGATACAGCTGACCTCATTTTTAACTTAGCCTTTTGCCAAAATATCCACTGTTAATGTTACCTCTGAGCCATTCTATAAAATCAACCAGAGTGAACTGCAAGTCTGGGTTGAGGAAGAAGTTAGTTATGCTAGCCTTTGGAGCAATTCCACAATGACCGCTGTACCAGATAATGTTTCAGCACCAGCTAGATGCATACTACAGCAGCACAACAGTATTCGGTCAATTGCCACACCTTTTCAGGCCCTCTACATCCCATTGTCTGAGTAGTCCTAGATGTTGTCCTCTGTCCTTAATTCTCACTTAGCCAAAGTTTCTGCTGCTTTTCCAGCTAAAGAAGTACACGTCTGATGAAGGTTAAGTATCTTAAGATGTATTCTTGGGCATCTTATTAAAGTTGTCCATATTGAAAGTTGGAGGAACTCGGATGGAACTTGAAGCAAATTAGACTTTTACAACATGAATCTAGTAAAGACTTCTGCTGCAACTGTGTTTTGTTTAGATTTGGCCGTTAGAAATTATAAATAGAAATACAACTGTGGAATTATATCATTGAGACCTTAATCAGAACCTAACATTGTCATTTTAATTATTATTGTTCTGTTGTTTTTCAGGCAGTGGACAAGCTTTCTTTCTGCAGCATCTACTGCAGTTTATGTTTACATGTACTCCTTCTACTACTATTTCTTTAAAACTAAGTAAGTATCCTAAATCCCTTTCCAGGTCTCATACCTGTTTCAGTTGCTGAATATTAAGTTATAAGTAAAAACTGGGTTGCAAAAAAGTAATGATAGTATCTTAGTCTTGCAGTTGTAAGTGGTGCATTGTACACATGTTATGGCTGTCATGGTGCAATACTGCCTTAATTTAGTGTACAGCCAAAGCTATATCAGTCTTTCATTTTCAGAATAATTTTTTCTCTGTGCTAAATAGAAAGCAGGACATGCTTAAAACACCTGTTTTTTAACAAGTGATCAATTAGCTCCATCAGTGCCAAAACTTTCAAAGAACTGAATCCACAACTAAGTGTCATTTTCCATTTTTATAGATGCCAGCTTTTATATACAGCAATTCCCTTGTTTTACCAAACCTTTTGTTTAACGAGTCTGCTTCAGCTGCATTGAATAAAACATTAATGCATTGGCCAATGTGTAAATCTGTAGTTGGCTGCTCACTGCAGTTTGATGTGGCATTAAGAGCTAATTAGCTTGCAGGCATACTGTAAGATATCTCTGCTTCAGGTTTTTATAAGCTGCTGTATGCTGAAGTAGGTAAGATCATTATATTTAGGCACTAAATTGAAACCAAATGGAAAATAAATAGTTACACGTATAATAGGCCTATATATAATTACTTGCATTTCATATTCAGGGATTTTTATGCTGCCAGTTGTCTGTGCCCAATATTGGTGTTCACTGGACAATGCAATTTTCCTTTGGACTGTGGGCAGACAGCTTCTGTCCACGAATGCCATTTTCCTCATTTTTTCCTCCATTTCTGGCATCTGCCTAAAAACACAACTGATTTGACTTCTTATACCACATAATTCAAAGCCATTAAGGTGCAAGATGGATTATAAACCAGAAAAAGACACAGCACTCCAGGACCAGGATTGGCAATACCTGCTGGATAAAGATGCAGGCGGGATCAGGCATTATAGCGATACGTTTTTGAGAATCATCATGCTCTTGCGGAAGTCTTGACGATTTTTGTTCCAAAGTCATGAAATTGAGAAACAGCTTGCAGATTACAAACATTTCTGTAGCCCTTCCAATCGTAAATATTAACACTCAACTAGGATAATCAGTGTGTGGTACTGAAAATAATTACTTGCAAAGCAATAACCTGTATTTAATGCAAGAAGAATAAGAAAAGCACTAGTAACGGGAAAAAAAAATTGGACAAACCTATAGGTGTATTCTGTTGCAAGATTACAGTATGTATCATGTCAAAAATGCTGTTAGCCCCATTTTGCCCTTTTCCCTAAAAAACATATCCTTTAAGAAAAACATATTTTGAGTTTGTCATTTATTTGAACAGTGATCTTTCAGGCTGATCATGCTACAGCCTGAAAAGTCTGAAAGTGTTTATTACATTCTGAAGCCTTTTGTTTTGTACGAAACGTGACAACTCATAAAACAACTTTAAAATTAAAACAGTGCTGCAGATGCAAACATCACAGGCTGAATCTCTGAGTGTAATTTAATCTACAAATTAGTTTTTTTGAAAAAAGTCTAATTGTCAAACATTTCCTGTCTAGGATGTATGGCTTGTTTCAAACATCGTTTTACTTTGGATACATGGCCGTGTTCAGCACTGCTTTGGGTATAATGTGTGGTAAGTAGTCAACGCCTCCCCCACCACCCCCTTCCACAACTCCCTGCCTCCATCTGCACTTCAGAAGCTAATTACACTTCATGAGCTGGAGTCATGTGGAGAAAAAAGCTTTATACACCTTTAGGAAAGGATCATCAGGAAAAATACAAACAAAAGTGCTGATTTTAACAATCTGTAAAAGTGTTTTCAGTAATGTTTGGTTGCAAGAAAGTAAATCTTTGATTTCACCAGAAAATCTGTGCATATGGGAGTCGTGCAGGTCTACTGAAAACATTTTTTCTCAAAAACAGTTGTGTATTTTCTTATTGAGTTATAAGTTACATCCAGCTAAAGAAAATGGGAAAACGTAGTGTGTGTTGGAGAGGTGACCTACAGATAGCTGTCCTTTTCTTTAACTCTCGTGACTAAAAAATGGAAGGTCACTTACTTAAAGTGTTGTACCAGCAAAATTTGGCTTTGATTAGGCTGTTTTATGTTACATGGTTTTGTGGACATCTGAAACAAACTCCTCTGCCAAGGTGTTTTGTGCTTAAATTGAATTATTTACTTCTAAATCAAAAACCTTTTAACCGGTTCTTATATTTGTTCATACCTCAACAAGTGAATTAGGTTGAAATAAGACAGGAATACTTGTTTCAGGAGTGTGAATAGTCTCTTAAATTAATAGCATTCTTTAAATCAGTCTTAAAGACATAGCTTTATTTAGATTATTGCATCACATTCACTGATACCTGGTGACTGTGTGCAGCATGTGTTTTGGCCATCAGTGATCACTGGATCCTGGAAAAATCTCTCATTATCCTTTATTTTCACAACACGGCTAATAAAATTAAACACTTACTGCTAAAAATGGAGAATGCGATAGAAATTGTTAGGTTAAGTAGTATAAATGTCCTTGGAGCCATGTACTTTCATAGGAATAAAGATTTATGAAAAAATAGAACAATGTTTTGAAAGGAGAAAGCACCAGTATGTAATAATAGAAGATGTGAATCACTGGAACAGGTTCTTAAACCCAGCTCCCATTTAAAGAGGAACAGCAGTCCTAATTTCTCAGACCAGTTATTAAATCTCAATAACAAAATAAATAATTGGCAGGATCACAAAATTTTACATGTTCCAAATTAAGCACAAATTATCAACTTTGGGAGAGAGAGAGTGAGAGTTTGTATGAATAGCAGCATGATGCAGCTCTTCCTGCTCACTAGTAACTATAATGACTAACGTAATATGATGTACAATCTTGAAATGCTCTCATTAATGGCAATTCTTTATAAACCCGAAATATAAAAATAGTGTTGTCATTCTCCTGTAACTGTAACTTCAAGCTGATGGAACAAGTCCAATAAAATGAGAACAACATAACTCCCCACACCATCGTAAGAAGTGCTTGTAACTATTTTATCAGATTGTTGTGCATTATCGGATTAGTCCGTTTATGGTTGCCAGGAGAATTCTGCACCATTATGAAATTGTATGTGGGGTGGATTTTAACTAAAAGACACGGTGAAAGAAAGGTTGAATGAAAAATGGTATTCTGTTGAGATTGACATTCCCAGAAAATGGGTCTAATGTTAAATATAGCCTTTATTGGGCTCTATGGGTGTGTAGGTGTTTTCATTAGTCTTCTTCAGGCTACTCTTCTCAAGACTAGATTGCTCAGATCTACACCATGGGAGTCTTTATTGACTTGTTAATTGAACAGATATTAATTCTGAAAGAATGAGAAAAGATGCAATGAGAGAGAAAAAACTATCACGGATAGTTGATGCATTTACTCAGCACCAGGTTGTGAGCATCTGTTTTAAATGCCCATGTGGAAAATGGTGAGGTGCAGTTCTGGTCCCTGTAATTATGTACATTTAATATAAAAGAAATCCTAGTGTGTTCCCTAGGTGTCTAATGAAAGCTTTTGATCACTCAATAGGCCTGTGATGCTGCCACATCAGCAGTAGCAGGACCTGGTGTTAATTTAAGCGCCACTGGGCAGATGAAGTATTGCTTTACATTTTATGGGCAGGAAAATGTGCTTTAATCATACTGGCATTTAATTTTTGAACCATTTAACATAAAAGGAAGCCAAATGCAGATGCAACCAGCTTAACAGGAGGTTTCTTTATAGAAGGTCTACAAAGGTATAACCATAGCTGGCCACAGTTTCAGGTCACAATCTACTGCTGTGCCAGGTAACAGAGGCGTACTTTATGATGTTTCAGTGGTACAAACTAGTAACAACAAATTCCTCATTTGCAGAAATTTTGAAAAAATTTTTAGACAGATTTTTTTACAATAGTCAGTGATGCTGTGTAAAAACAGGAATAGAAGATTTTATTCATTTAATTTGCATGTGGATTTCGGAATTAAATTCAGTTAAGATTTTATATACTATTATAGATTACTAAACTGATTGTGAAGGCCGGGTTTTCCCATTGCAGTGCTATTGAAACTTCTGACAAGTTTTTTAAAATGACTTAAAAAACAGCTGTTTAACCCACTTAAAATGCACTATGCTTTATGAATAAAGCATGTTAAAAACAAATTAGCCATGCCATTTATAAATTAACCATATTCATAAAATAAATTAACCATGTAGCTTATAAATTAATCATGCCATCTATAAATTAACAACATAAAATAAATCAAGCATACTGTTTTTAAATTACCCATAGGGAAATGAATGAATCAGAAGGTTTATAAATAAATTAGCACAGTATATGATGAATGACATCTGGTGTTCCTAATTTTAAGGTTGTTATAGAAGACTTTAAATGCTTTAAGCTACTGTATTTTTTCTTGCTGTACGCAGCTCAACTCCAAAAATTGGAAACACAGAAAGGTGATAGAAATGAATTCAAAGACTTTTAATTTGCATTTCAAGTATCTGGGAGAAAGTTCCATACAGTACCTAATTTAATTTGCACTCCAGTTTTTTGTTAAAGGAAAATGTACAGATTTATAATTAGATGTTTTAGAAAGCATAACTGTATCATTGAAACTGAATCTGTACAATTAACAATTATGTATTGTGCTCTAGCATATCAAAAGAAATATGCACCAGTGTTTTTTCAGGCTGATTCATCTAGATGTTTTGTCAAAAAGGAAGCCATTATCAAAACAGCTTGGTGATGTGGCCAGTTTTAGCTTTCTTAGAATTCCCATTTTGTACAGTTAAGTCGTATAGACTGACACTACTATATAAGTATTATATAAATTTAGGAGAAACAACATCTCTACTAATAAAGTACTTAACCTTGCCATATTTTGTCTTATGATACAATATGTAAATTATCTTATAGAAAGTAAAGTTTAACAGCACTTAATGTTTTATTGCTGCACACACCTGTAGGAAACGTACAACAGGTTTCACAATTATTAGTTTTAAATGTTAAGCTGTTTTGCTTGAAAGGTTTTAAAAAAACACATTTAAAAAATGTGAAAAATTTCAGTTTTACAGCAGTGCTCTTTTATGAACTAGAACCACTGATTTGTCCCATTTTTTTATTTTTCAGGAGCTGTTGGTTACATGGGAACAAGTGCCTTTGTTAGAAAGATCTACACAAATGTGAAAATTGACTAGACAAAATGACAGCACCGGGATCTGTGAAGAAGCTTTGGCTCATCTTACAGAAGCTTGCACAAGTCATTTTTGCAAGAAGAGATTGGGTTTATTACTTGGTACAATGTGGTTTTCCATTTTCTGAGTGACTTACAAGAAACAAAAGAGGAAAAAAAATACAAAAAAAAAGGCAAAGGATAACGAAACATTTCCATTGATCCTAAGTTTTTATTGACTGCTATCACCAACTTTTCATGAGCAAACGCTTGGAGTATATGCAGTAGAACAACATTGTCCCCCCACCCCCATTACCCACCCCGCAAAAAACGAGAAAGTAGCTCATTATTGATGAATAGTCTAGCTCTCTTCAGTGAAGAGGACAAACAGTTTATTGAAAGCAATTGTTCTATTATATAAGAAAGAGGGGAAGTTGGCTGCTTAAACCCATTGACCTGGGGTCTTTCTGGGCTTTTTTTGGTTTTCCATTTCACCCAGACTGCCATCATTATTCTAGTTTCTGTTTTTACTGTTTTCTTATTTATGCTCATTTGATTTTGCAGAAACATTGCATACACACCCAAGGCTGTAAAAATGAAAAGGTGCATGTAATATATCGGCTTTAGTAACAGCTGGACCAATGCCATTTCCACTACTTATTTGTCATATTATTAATTCTCATATTACGCCTGAATTGGTTATTTAAGTCCATCCATCCAAAGAAAAGTAAAGCTTAGGTCAGAGGGTATTTTGTTCTGCACTTCTGTTTACTGTACAGTTAACAAACGGATGTATCGTAGAACTGGTGATCAGTTTTTATTAGACATTTTGAGGTCTAAGTGACAAATTGTTTTAATTGGATGTTTGATGTGGTCCTCTTTTTTTCTAGTTTAGTCTTACCATTTTTTATTGTTTTTTATGTTTGGGTGTGAATGAAGGCTTTACTTTAAGATAGACTATGGATATGGGAAATTACATGTATATAACCTTAAAATAATGTAACTTTAGATGTAGAACCCAAATGTATTTGGATGTACAGATTTATTACAGAGTACTTTTTCTTAATGAAACATTCAGTATAAAAGTTTGATTTTGTTTGTTTGGGTTTTGGGAGCTGTAGCTTGGCTACATCTTGCTGCCATTGTATGACATTTTCATCTTTGTGTATGTACATCTCACTTAATTTTCTTTCAGCAGCTACCTTTTGTAAGATTTTTTTTGTTCTTCCCTGGACGGTCTGTGCATTTTGTAAGAGCACATTTCTTCAGAGTGCTAATTAAATGAATAAACTTATTTCTTGCTTATGAATTTCCGAATGTTCCGAATAGGTTGCAAGTAGATTTTTTTAATTATTCACTGGCTTTCCATTTTGTGTTCATAGTCATTTTCTGTTTTATTCTGCAACCAGAAAAAATTATGCCGAGTTTCTGCAAACATACTGTAAAAAATAATCACACTAACTGGATGTTTTCAGTGTAATGTTGCAGGTACCTTCAAAAACTCTTCCTCCGTGTGTTTTGAAAGATTTGTAAATACAGTGCATATGTCTAAGTAAACAATCTTAAAAGGGGTTTGCAGAAGCCTTTCCTAACAATTTAACACCCATGTTAATTTATGGTTATTCACATATATGATTTTGTCTGAAAATCGAGACATTTTAAAGAAAATGAAATTGCTGTAAAGACGAGGCAATGAGAAATAAACTATAAATATTTATCTACACCATTTACCTTGCCACATTTTATATATGAAGGTATGTAACACTCGAGCCCTATTTTGTTTGTCACATCGTGGAACAGGTTACCTGTCTTTTTGAAACTGTCATGTAAATATGAAGACTGACCTCAGTTTTCAATGTTCTTGCAGTAGCTTGTTGGAGAACTTCCTGCACATTTTGGAGAAATAAACAAATCTGTTAAAAGACCATAACTGAAGATCTGTGGTGAAGCCCAATTAGTAACATCAAGCTTCTGGGTTGGAGGCATGCTATAATCTTTTTCTTCCTATTTCTTGACTAAATTGTTCCCCCTTTTTCCTACAAACTTCAGATTTTTAGCCACTGCCTAGAAATGCCATTTCTGACAAATTGAAACTTTTTTTCTCCCAAACATTATATTAGGCATTATTATTCATTTATTTTCTGGATAATTATTATTTTTTTAATTCTTGGATAGCAGAATTATTCACACATAATGAAAATTAAATTCCTATATTGTTGGGTTATAACCTGTTTTTTTGTGTTTTTCACACTGAAATTCAGTTATAATCTCATTAGCAATATGATTGATAAGACTAGCGTTTTTTAGTTTGAAATGGATTCTCCACCATAATGCTTGATAAATTGATCATTTGCAAAAAGAACTGTATATGTGTCTGAAGATGACTCTCATTCTAATAAACTTGTCCGTAAAAACTGAATTTTGATAGATTTGTGTATTTAGATTGAGTTATTAAATACTGATGGCTACAGGTTACTGCTTTATTGTCCCTGGGTTTTCCAGGTTTTAAGCTTCAGTATTGAAAAGAATACTTTGAGTTACTCAGAATGATGAGTAAGAGATGTTTTTTTAAAATGCATAAAGATTTTGTCTATATAATTGTTCATATACAGATGTACTGTATCACAGTCCCATCTGATATAACTTGTGCACAAGCACTTGGCTTGTGTTCCTTTGTCAGTTTGTTGCACTCAAGTGCAGTACTGGTAGTATTATATACTTCCATTATAATAAATGTTTCTTGTTAAAAAATGATTAAGGCACTCTGTGCCTTTGGGAAGCAGACAACTTAGTTTATTGTCCAAAGTAAATAATGAGTTGGAAAAGATTTGGGAACTACCCACATATTCCAATAATTTTAAACTCAAAGCAGCATCCACGTTTTGCATCCTACAGTAACTTTTTCATGGAACCACTTTTTCTCTTCATATTGGATTTGTACGTTCATGGGGCTTGACAAAAAACATGCCAGTGTTTTCTGTATTGCATTTTCCAACTCCCTTGAAAGATTTTACCTTAAGGAAGAGGTGGAGAATCCTAACACTAAAATATCTCATTATGGCTGTGAACATTGGTTCATTTTAGCACGCTTTATTTTAACCCTAGCCCCCCAATCTGTTTTAATGGTAGTTTTGTTTTCTTTGTCACTTAACAAAAGCAGCTACATTTTGGATCATGACATTACTTATTACCTGTCAATCGCTTTATGAAGAGCAGGTTACCTACATTTCTGCATGACCTTATTTTTCAGGAAAAATGGCTTTCAATTATCTCCCACAAAGGATTTTCTTAATTGTTTTAAACTCTTAAAAACTAACCTGAATTGACTAAATTAAATACTGTATTTACTGTATGCAATAAACCTGTGTAAAAACTACCTCTAATCCAATGTATGCTGTGTTAATTAAGTTTTATACAACTTGACATTCTTCATTTGCACTGTTGACTTGGTATGTAACAATGTACAATATTATAGGTTTAGAAATATTTCAAATCCACGGCAATGACATATCAGACTATTTATGGTTGTATTTACCAATTGTCCTATTTAATGTTTCAGTAGGGCTTCACACTGTGAAAACTCACATTTGGGTAAATGGGATGGGTTGTGGATACTATATGAAATTGCAATCCAGGGGTGCATATACGCTGTTGACAAGACCTTAAGCTGTATATTCATTACAGCTGTTCTTGTAGTTTTCATTGTTATTGGCAAAAGCCTGTAGAAATAGTCTTAATTTGCATTAAATATTTCTTGAAGTATCAGAATAGAAAGTGAGCTAATGTACTAAATGGCATCCTTTCTTCTTTTAACCTTTGTTTTATGCTTTTATTGTTTTAGTGGATACATATACTACCTAAACCTCTAAAGTATTTCTTATAATTTTCCTATATTTCTATAGCTTGGTTTCCTAAATGTCTTTGCGCATGTTAAAGTTTTTTAATGGTTTTGAACATTGAAACAATTGTATTTTCTGTCTTATGTTGCAACTAAGTAACCGTTGTTCAACAAGAGGTGCTTCATGGAAATTACATTACATTCATTTACAAAAAATTACAAAACATAAAAAGGACATGATACAGTTTTACCACCAAGTAGTTTTTCCTGAAGCAACCAATTCTATCACATCCACTCATTGCTGTATTTACAATCCTTTCATTATAATCATGATTTAGCTGATGTGGCTGCTATCTAACCCTTCCTTATACAACATTTACTACAATACTTTAATTATATGCCTGGTGTTTTTTTTTCTCCAGAATTACTGACCCTTTCCTTTAATATGCATTTTCTTGCTGCATCTGCAAACAAATACATCAATGCATCTCCATATTAAACATAATTATATGTAAGAGTACATAGACCTATCCTCCCTAGATAATCTGGTAATGATCTCTGTAGGGCTTGGGTCATGTTCTTTATGAAATGGGCTATTCTGTTTCCTAATGAGGGTTCATGGTGTCAAAGTTCTGCTGTCACAGCAAAAAGAATTTTGTAACCTTTCAAAATTCCCAGTAGAGTTTTTTCCGATGTTCAAATATAATACGATCATTCTTATGGTTTGTATTCATAATTATAAGTATACCCAATTTTTATAATATCTCGACAACACTGGCAATATATGAACCCTTGTGACTAGAAAATATACTTCTGTAATTTGCAAGCTTATGTTGGGAGATGTACACTGCCCCAACAAAGATAGTCCCGTCATCTGTTGGACTATATGTTGAAACTATTACCGATGCAAATGACAGTCAGTGAAGAGACATTCATTTTGAAAATGATGATGGATCCCCCCCCAGACCCCCCCCATAAGTATTCATATGCTTCTCTAAAATACTTAATTGCTATTATTAATTTGGTCCTTCTAAAAAGGTGAGTTCTGGGGGGTTTTGTCCCAGACTGAACGCAGTCCTGTCTGGAACAGTACTTGGTAATATGGGGGATTGCCTAGAAAAAAGCTGTCTGCCAGTGTATTGTCTGCTGCTCAAACAAGAAAAACCAATGATCATGTGGAATGCTGTACTTTTCACCAAATGGGAAATGCAGAAAAAATATTTTCTTTTTCCAAGTGCTTTTAATAATTTTTGAAGAGCATTTCTTTTGGTTTCACAAAAAGCAATAATATAGGAATGTGTAAAGATTGTGAAACAAATGTAGAGAATTGAATACCAAATTAAATCTCGAAATAAATCTCTCTCTGTGCATGTATGTTATTAGATAACATACATGGAATTGGATGTTGATTAAATGTTTTCGGTGTTATTTGGATTTAGTAATTGCCGTTCGTGACTGACTGCGATACACTTGAGTGACTCTGACTACCGCAGAAAACATCTGTGCAGCAGTTTATTTGAGAAAGTTGATTGACCATGAATAATAAGATGATTTAACTTGTTGAATGTCAAGCCTGTTGTAAATTTAGAATGAAAAACACAGGAATCAATATTCTCCGCTTATCAAGAGAACAAAGCCTGTCATCAATATATTGGAGGCAGGAGTAGGTTCCTGCACTTTCACTGGCTGACTAGGGTGTTCACCCCCAACAACTTCTAGCCCGGTGACAGTCTGGCAATGATAGGCCAGGATCTGGGAGCTGAATGACGACACCTCACCAAGATGGCCGAAAAGTTCCAAGTGTGATGATCTGGTGGGACTTCGATGAAAGCCTGCTCTTTTAGCTCTGTGTCCCCATTCCAGCAGGACACCACACATCCTCCTACTGTCTGTGTAGCACTGACATTCTTGCAAGATGAGAGTGGGACTATGATACCTTGGATGCCTTCTCACTGTACTCGAGTCCCCATTGCACGTCTGTGGGATGAACTTGGAGAAGATGTGGCATCTAGGGCTCAGAGACCAGTGAACAAGCATATAATTGTCCAGACATTGCTAGAGTCATAGAGTTGCATCCCATTAGGAAGGATCTGTAAACGTGTGCAAAATACTCTTTGCAGATTTACAGCTTGTACTGCCGACCACGGTGGCCACACGTGCTATTAACTTGCGATTTCACAGGGGACCCCTGTGGATGACAAATGTTTTTTAGTAATAGTGAAAATACCCGTCACGTCTGTTCAATATAAAAGGCCAGTGAACCTAGTGAAAAAATGGATATGGCCATTTTCATTACAACTTTGGAATTTGTTGGAGTTATAAATGGTGTACTTTGATGCTCAGTAAATGTAATTTCCTTTTGTGAAATGATAATTTGGATCAGAGAGTTTTCACAACAGAAAAAGAACTGATTTAAATTTTTAATGTTGGCAAAGGTTGCCACTTCCAGTCTACCTTTTCTTTCCTGCTGCTTTTTATTGCAGTTCAAAGAGCTACATAAGAATGTGCACTTTAATATGTTATTTTAAATACATTTTAATGTATGCTTTACCTTGGCTGTCACTGAGGTGAAATTGATTTAATCGTCTGGTTTAAGGTTTTTCTTAATTGTACAGAAAGCATAATGATTATTCACGCGATTCTACTTCATCCATATGTTGGCCAACGGGAACCTTATTGATGCTGTTGCCTTCACTGTTGTGGTGTTGTAGAAATCGGAACCTTCCAGCAAATTATTGACTAACGTCAAGGACCTCAAATCTCACGTTCGACATTACCTGCACTGTTATTACGTTCTATAACCCTATTTTCCGTGTAGACGCCGACTTCCAAGATACCTGTGCTCATCTTTGTTTTGAACGACATTATATTAGGTGCAATTGGGCCCGTGTGATAGGCCGGAGCTCTTGGCTGATTGACAGGGCACAGCAACGCCTCCGAGAATGAGAGAGCGAGTGAGAAAGAGGGTGCCTGTGCCGCAGATATAGCGTGCTCATTAATCACAGCAGCCGGGGGCACAACACAGGAGAACATCTCTCCCACACATCAAGCAGAAGTCCTTTCACGTAGCAGGAGCTGGATGCTGTAGCTTATCAACATTACCCTGAGTTCCAATTTATTTACTTTCCCTTTTTGTTTCCAAACAAGCTAAAGGGGTTGCGCTGCTTCTGTCCCAGCAATGTGCTGTTGTGGACCTTCTGTGAAGACTTTATGGACACTGACATTTGTAGAGATTGTGCTAGTTGTGATAGCTCGCTGGAGTGTTGCCTTGGATTACGACTACACCACTGCTCCTGCAAGTACTTTTGATTACTTGATGGATTCAGAAAACCCCGATGATATCAGCTACAAGGATCCTTGCAAAGCCGGTAAGTACTTAGAAAACCCCCCAGAAATGTTCATCAGTGACTAGCAGAGTTTTCAGTGCTTTTCTCTTTGCATTCAGTTACAAGCGCACTGGTCAACAATCAGTCACATCGCCCTGCGCGATATTTGTATTCAAATGCAAATGATCTACAAACGCATTGTGTTTTTCCCCTTACTGTTTAGTACTCTTTTTTTTCTGAACCGATTTAAATAAACAGCACGAACTTGCATGCGTTTTGAGTGTGGTGCCCAAACTTTAGCAAATGTGACTTTTATCATACCAGTTTGAGTATTTCCCAGCTGTTACAAACGCGTTACAGTCTTGGTTGTTGTTATAGTCACGGGTTTGATATTACATTAATTTACAATGATAGAAAATATGCCTGATGCCCTACACATAGAAGGCGATTTGCTTGTAGAGTGCGAACATTTGTTTTTAGCTGTGTTGATAGGATAAGGATTGACGAAGTAGACACGCAGTGCTTAAGAGGACTCCACATTTAAACAAATAGGAGCACTTGTTGCCTGTCACGCTCCAAATGTTTTTTCTTTGGGACTTCAAGAGGCACAGTGTTCCAGTAACCTCCTTTGCTTTATCCTGTAAGACAGTATGGAGCGCATAATCAATCGTACGTTACTCTCAAAAGATGTCTTGAATAAATGACATGCATGTTACTACTCAACAGCTGGTCAGTAGTGGTTTCACATAAAGCACTTTGCCAGCGACGGTAAGGTTCCCATGAAGATGTAATAAAAGTTAATCTCCACCACAAACAGAAGTTTGGGGGACCGATTATATCTTGAAAACGTATGTCCAGGGAAGTGAAACACAAGGCTTCTGATTTGGAGGACAAAAACAATGATAATTTAAATTAAATATTTTGTGCTGGCTGTGTCAGGACGCTGCCTCAAGGAAGTTTCTGAAATATTCACTATGATGGAATTGTAACTAGTCCACAAATCAGATCTCTGACTTTGGTCCTAGAAGGCGCCAGGTAATGGACACCAGGTCTCCATTTTCTAAATAATTACTTGAAATAATTTTTATAGGCATTATTAAGCAGGTGATCAGGAACTATATTTTTAATTGAACCTAAAGATCAGTATAGAGCAAAATCTTTGTACCCATCTGCCTTTAGTAGCCAAAGTTATCCTCGTGCAAAAGATTGTGTGCCTAGTTCAACAACAGCTTGTAGCTTTTCTCAGTCTGTAAAATCTGATCAACTCCAAGATTAATTGTTAATTGTATT